ATACATCTTAAAGAGTTTAATATTACCCCCGTCAAGAAGTTTATTTTTCATTTTAATGGATTTTCGAATTCCTTTTGTAATCTATGGTTTAGAAAAAGATTTGAGCTTCTGCCGGGATATTGGTTTTAATGGAGCGTGATTATTGATCAATTTATTTAATTTATTGTACAGAGAAGAGAAAGCCTTATCGATATTAGTTTCATTACGGGAGACTATGTCAACCCAATCAATACGTGATAAGTCGTGTATAAAATTTTCTTCAGAAAATTGGGAAAAATCGCGCGCAAGAGGTCTGTCGGGTTTGCCTTTGACTACAAGCGAGCTTGTTAAACAAAACTGCGAGAAGTGGTCACTAATATCAGAGATTATATTGCCACTAATGATATTCTCATTAACTTTGTTTGTAAATATATTGTCGATTAATGAGAAAGAATTTCTATGCACACGAGTTGGTTTGTCAATACAAGGAGTTAAATTAAGGCTCTGGAGAGTTAGAAGAAAATCTTGTGCATAGTTGCAAGAATCAAAGGAAAGGAGATTAATATTAGCGTCAGTCATGACATATACAGGCTTGCCAGTAGCTATAAGGTTTTCTGCGGTTTCCTCAAAATACTTTAGGAAAAGCTCAGGTGAATTATGCTGACGATATACAATACAATACAATACAATATTTATTTGCCATATACGACATTTACACATGGAAAAAAAAAATGAAGAAAATTGATGACAGAAAATAAATGGCGAGAAAACCTGAAAGAAACCACGAGGCTTATAACAAGTCAGGCTTTCTCACTTAAAATAACTAATCTTATATTAGAATTACAATATGGACTTATGGTAATTAACTTTGACCGCGCACACGTACACACACACACACGCACACACATATTAACTAAGTTAGTTAAGAATTACTGCCTTACAGAAGCTAATACTTAGAGAGAAGAAATTCCTTAAGCTTTTTTTTTAAAAGAAGCGGAGGAGGGAGAACTAGTTATGTCAGAATTTAACGAATTATAAAAGTTTGGACCTTGAAAGTAAATTGAAAACTTCCTGGTGTTCGTTCTGCACAGTGGCAAACGGAAGGACTGAGCATTCCTAGTATTATAATTGTGGATTTGACTATTCAGTAAAAAAAAAAGTTATTGAATTTGGAAGGGAGTGTAGAGTTCTTGAATGAAAACATAAAAGTACCTAATTGAAACGAATGGATATCATGAAATTTTAAGAGTTTAAGTTCCTTTAAAATAGGGCCAGTATGGGCAATGTATGTAGAATTGCTTACTATTCTTAACGCACGTTTCTGTAAGGTTACAATTCTTTGAAGGTTTGACTTATAGGTACCAGCCCAAGCTAAATTGCAATAATACAAATATGGAAGGATCATAGAATTGTATAAAGTACGAAGGGAGTGAGTAGAGAGAAAAAAACCTAGATTTATGAATAATACCTATAGATTTGGATAATTTATTTGCTGTTAAGGATATATGCGATTTCCAGGTCAAATTGTCGTCTAATAAAACACCCAAAAACATGGTCTCAGAAACACGAAGAATAGGCTGCTCATTTATGAAAACTTGAAATTCAAAGGATTGCTTCTTTTGCCAAGGCTTAAATACCATAAAATTGGTCTTGGCTAAATTCAAGGAGAGCCGGCTTGCTGCAAACCAGGTTGACAATTTGTTTAATTCTCTATTTAATGTGTTAATTAGGTAAACAGGGAGATAAATAAGTTTGTATCATCAGCAAACAAGATTGCATCAAGCAGGGAAGCATTGTTCAAATCATTAACATACAGGATAAAAAATAAGGGACCAAGAATAGAACTTGAGGCACCCCACAGGAATCCCCTGTGGGGCAGATCTAACGTTATTAAATTCGACAAATTGTGTCCTCTCAGAAAGATAACTTTTGACCCATTCTTGTGCCAGACCACGGATCCCATAATGATTGAGTTTTTCAAAAAGAATGTCGTGATTTACCGTATCGAATGCTTTCGAAAGATCTAGGAATACTCCAATGGCATGTTCTTTTCTATCAAATGCAGAAGAAATTTTGTCACACAAATCGATAAGCGCAAGGCTAGGAGAGCGATTTTTTCTAAAGCCATATTGATTATCACATAAGACATCGGAGTCATTGAGATAATTCATAATACGGTTGTAAATTATTCGTTCCAAAAACTTTGAAAAGCACGGTAGAACAGAAATAGGTCTGTATATAACACTCCGCAGATTATGTTTGCTACATTTGTTTGAAAAATTTCAACCCATAATGCCTGTATAGCTGTGTACAGCCCTGTATAGCTGTGTATAGCCCTGTATAGCTGCTTATAGCCGTGTATAGCTTTGTATAGCCCTGTATAGCTATGTGTTGCCCTGTACAGCAGTGTTTAGCCCCGTATAGCTGTGTATAGCCCTGTATAGCTATGCATAGCCCTGTATAACTGTGTATATCTCTGTACAGCTGTGTATAGCCCTGTATAGCTGTGTATAGCCCTGTATAGCTGTGCATAGCCCTGTATAGCTGTGTATAGCCCTGTATAGCTGCGTATAACACGATAGAACACTCCGCAGATTATGTTTGCTACATTTGTTTGAAAAATTTCAACCCATAATGCCTGTATAGCTGTGTACAGCCCTGTATAGCTGTGTATAGCCCTGTATAGCTGCTTATAGCCGTGTATAGCTTTGTATAGCCCTGTATAGCTATGTGTTGCCCTGTACAGCAGTGTTTAGCCCCGTATAGCTGTGTATAGCCCTGTATAGCTATGCATAGCCCTGTATAACTGTGTATATCTCTGTATAGCTGCATATAGCCCTTTATAGCTGTGTATAGCCCTGTATAGCTGTGTATTGGCCTGTACAGCTGTGTATAGCTCTTTACAGCTGTGTATATCTCTGTACAGCTGTGTATAGCCCTGTATAGCTGTGTATAGCCCTGTATAGCTGTGCATAGCCCTGTATAGCTGTGTATAGCCCTGTATAGCTGCGTATAGCTGTGTATAGCCCTGTATGGCTGTGTATAGCCATGTATAGCTGTGTATTGCCCTGTACATCTGTGTACAGCTCTGTATAGCTATGTATATCTATGTATAGCTGTGTATAGCTCTGTAGAGCTGTTTATGTTTCTGTACTGTACTGTTGTCTCTGTACTATAGCTGCATATAACCCTTTATAGCTGTGTATAGCCCTGTATCGCTGTGTATTGGCCTGTAAAGCTGTGTATAGCTCTTTACAGCTGTGTATTGCCCTGTATAGTTGTGTATAGCTCTGTATAGCTGTGTATAGCCCTGTATAGCTGTGTATAGCCCTGTATAGTTGTGTATAGCCTTGTATAGCTGTGTATAGCTCTGTACAGCCGTGTATAGCTGGGTATCATCCTGTATAGCAGGTAATGTAGTGTTAACAACTGGGTTGAAAACGTAAATTAGCCACCGTAAAGGGTAAAAAAGCTGACGTTTCGAGCGTTCGTCAGAGCGACCAATCGACCAACTATGTACCTGAAACTAATGGTTTTAGGATATTTCTTGATGAACAATCCATCACAAATAGTCCTGTCCTACAAATACAAACCATAGCCTATTGAGGGAAACGCTAAGTGAGGACTAGCTTAACCAGTTTTTTTTACAAGTTTGACCGAGTTCTGCGCTGCTAAGAAATATTCATACACTCTGTGCATATCACTAAAAAAAGTTTGGGGAGCAGGTTTAATGTTTAAGATTTGAAGACCTTGAACTAAACTAGCCTACTGCATGGTGTCAAAAAGTAAGTCGGTCTGTTCCCCTGAGGGAGGGGGCCTATTAACTCAGATAGGGGGGGGGGGGGGGTTTGGGTGAGAGTACTTGCCGAAGGAACGTCTTACTTGGCATAACTTGACAAATCCTCATTATGGATAATAATCTGCTATAAATACCCTTCAACTTTGAAATTGAATAAACCCCAACAGATAATAGGGCTAGATTCAACAGTGTCAGTTTGACATTTGGTTTACAAGGTCACAAAATGCCACACTGAACAAAGCCAGCCTAAAATGGTTACTGTTAGCTGGGTTACTGTTTCACTGTCATGATCTGAAAAGTGACCCTGCTCATTTATGACCACAGCTGGCCCATGCTTGCCCCTACTCCAACATTACAACAGTGGACAAGTTAAAGTTAACAGTGATAGCAGTGACACAGCTTTTAGACCTGGACTTACTAGTAAATGGAGATGAGGTTCAAGCTAAAAATACATGGGTTTCTATCCAATGGAGAAAATTAATACTCTACATCTGGACCTTACTTGGTGCATACAAAAATAAATAACACTAAAAGTTTTTTAATTACTTCATCACAGAAGTACTTCTGTTACGTACACATTATATGCTTTGTTTTAAAATCTGGCTCACACCACTAAAGTTACTGTAAGATGTTCACTAATACTCTGGGCCCAGTTGTTCGAAGGCCGATTAGCGCTAACCCAGGGTTAAATTTTAATCTAGGTTTCTATTTTTCTCTGTTCAAAAGCTGTTTGAGGATAATTTTCTCCATTTATTTTCAGAGCATTCAATCAAAAAATTGAAGACAAAAAGATTTCAGCTGAATTTTTTTCTTCAAGCTTTCAGATCTTAAATCAAATTTTATACTAATCCTGGGTTATCTTAACCCAGCTTTGAACAACCCGGCCCTGATTTATACTTTGACTCATTCATACTTGTAAAAAAACTCACAAATTAGATTTTGAAAACAAATTCATGTGTGTCAACTTTAACTTTAAAATTTGTGTAGGAACCAGGAACATGGCAGGAGGTCCTCTTTGGTTTGGTAACTAGGTGTCTACATATTTCCACTAATGGTTAAAATTAAGTTACATGTAAATCTTCAATTATATATTTGACCACCAAGGAGAACAGTATTTGAGATGGAGCTTCCTGTTTACTATATTTATTGGTGACAACAAAGTCAATCATCTTCAGTGGGTTAAAGAAATGTTCCATAGAAATAACAGTGATAACAAAAACTTTTAATACAGGGAGTCTGCATTATTTGTGCGAGGTTTCTTGATCTTGTCAAGATTCTTTGTAATGGTGTCATGTAAAGAAAGCTGTAGAAGGAAATCAAATGCACAGACATAATAAGTACCTTCAATTTTAAACAATTGAAAAATTTGTGTATAAATTATATCTATTGAGTTCATAAGAGCTGTCATTGTTGCTAGCTGCTAGTCAATCACTGAAAGTTAAGTGAATTTCAGAAATAGAGTTAATGCAGTAAGCAAAATTCCACAACATACCGGCAGTACATTTGATGCCTTTCACTATTTACTGTTGACCAAAGAAAAGATCATTTGAAAACATTTCTAAGTTGAAAACAAAATTGTTCTTACATAATGGTTTCGCAGCTCACAGCAACAGAGACGTAGGCTGGTAAATTCCTTCTCATCTAATTCAATCACAGCCTGTCTGTAATCATCCTGAAACATAAGCAAAAATAAAGCAAATGAATGGGTAACTATAGTTACAATTCATAAGAAAATAAGAGCAATCACAAGAAGTTTCATTTACCACAACACCCAATAATATGCATGCAAAAATTTCAGCATGCTCCTAGGCAAAGAACTGGTCAATTAATCCCAAACAATGCAGAAAGTTGAAATTGAATGCAAAACGTTGAAATTAGGTGCAGAACCTAGAATTAAATTGACTGACAGTAATTAGTAGCAAAAGCACAATAAAACTAATGGCAGACAAGCTCAGACAAACAACTGGCTAAAAGTCTGCAAGTTTTGAGCTTACAGAAAATAGCTATGACTAAAGTAGTGAAATGTGCTAAGTAGAGACCTTGAATAAAATTCTTAATGCAATAAGTTTAATACAACAGTTTATAAGAACAACAAGGAAGATTTCAAACATAACAACCTTTACATAATGGTTTCTGCTTTTTATTGATATCTAATTAGAGATATCACAGAGTTATAAAGCTCAAAGCAAGTTCTTTAGGGAAAATACTCTTCAGCAATATGGAAAAGGCAAAGTGGAAATGACAGAATCAAACAATTGCAGGACAATTATCGACAACTTACTAACTGTGGGTACTTTATGATTTTGGAGACAAGTTTTCCTCTTGTGATGTAATACCTGCAAGTCATAACATTATTTTATCATTTCTATCTTTTGTTTTCTGGGGGTTTTGCTTCTCTACCTAATTAACACATTGAAACAATTGTTGAAAGACACATGGAATTATCATTAATGATATAGAAATATAATAATGTAATCCAAATTAAGAAATCCCTCTTAAAAAGTACATCATTTAAATATTACTACTTCATTTAAATATTTACTTACTCCCTTGTCAAATTGAAGCTTGAATTATTTATTATTTCCAATAAAGCAATTGAGTGAGCACCTTGATATCTGGTCCAGAAATGTGGCTGCTTCTCCTTCAATTCTCTGTACTTCACTGAGAGTTTCTTCCTTCAGTGTATCCATTGAGATTCAAAAAGACATTTTAAAGTCAGGTAAGAAAGTGTGGAAGTCAAATTTATCATTTACATTTACAGAGAACCACAAACAAGTTTCTGCAAGTTACTAATCCTTTCTCTATGTATTTAATACCTAGACCATAATTCACAGTTCATTATTTCTTAATGCGGTTGAGCTCTGCAGTACCTGAATGGAAACACCAAAGTTATTTCCATCCTCTATTCTTGGAATTAGTAACTGAATCCACATCTTCACCTTTAGAAAAAAAAAAACAAACAGAAACAATTCTACACTGTACAGTAAATAATACAGAATTTAGCTAACAAACAAGTTATTGCGTGACTATAAGTTTCAGTCAACCTTGTTTTTCTTTGTCCATACATATACACACTGATTTTGTTTGGTCTCTAGTGTGGTCTTTAAAGATTACCCCCCTGTTTGGCTAAAGATATTTGCATAAGATCCTCAGAAGAGTATTACAATCTTGGAGGATGCAACTTACCCTGAGGGACTGTAATCAAACAAAGAAATCTCCCAAATTTACTCACATTAGCCATATCTGACACAAAAACTTTAAAACCATATGAGAACTACCACCATAACATTTAGAACATATGGCTATAAACTTACAGTATTACACTTTTCCATCAATGTCTGGATTTTTGGTTTCAGAAGTTCAATTACTTGCAAAAGATACTGGAAAAAAGAAGGGGTAATCAAGAGGTGTTAGTCAGAAGAGATCTTCAAAACACCAATAATCTCTTAGTAACCATTGTAACAACATCAATGTGTTACTGCCTACGCAAGAAGAAATACTCAGAACATTACCATTTTGTTTCTTTTAAATCTATTACAAGATGTGTTGGTGATGATGAAAGTGTTCTATCACACATTACTCTGTGACAAGCCATATTTGTAATTAGAATAAGAGAGACAAACATGACCCTATCAACATTGCTGATTTTAGCAGTATACAGGACAAGTGTTATATCAACTTTGTAATAGACCTTGCTCATCTAGAGTCTCTGTGGCTCAGTGGTAGAGCATCTGAGGGCAGGATCTGAAGGTCTGAGGTTTGATTCCTCATGGGGATTCAGAATTTTTTCTTTGTCCCACACTCATGACAAAACAAAAAAACATCTATTTCTTTATTGAGCTCAAAACTTACCATCTCTCTTATTCTACTCTTACCTTGTTGCAAGGAATATGGGTAATGAAAGCTAACAAGAAGAAAAAGAGAAAGAATAAACAAACAAAAACAATTGATCAGTACAGAATGTTCTGCCAGATGGAAGTTGAAAGACCAGAGCTTCAAACTAAAACCAAGGAAATGAAAACTCACATGACAAAGAATGATTAACAATTTGAGCATCATGACCATCTGCCACCTTTCTCTTTTTATTGCATGGCTACAGGAATAAAACCAAACATTGACCACCACAACATCTAAAAACAAATCCCAGTTCAAGGCATTGTGGGCCACACAGAATAAAATTCCATGTGCTGCCTGGCATTTTAGCTTAAATAGACATAACAGTGTTTGGTTTATGTCAAAATGCCCATTAACATCCATTGCTTATAGTTTTCGCCCTAAAAACCTTTGAAGCCAAAAATGGATGAAAATAGATGGTGGAGTACAGTCTTTTGGTTCTATTGAAGTCACAAATCTATATTGCCTAAAAGTAGAGATTTAGATCAGTAATAGACAAATCATTTTGATTGTTTTCCTACTAAATTCTACTTAGTGCACAATTCACATTTCACACAGCAACTCAAGTCAAAATTGGTGATGATATAAAGTCACCTTAACATGAGCTCACCTCTGCATCAGTAACGGTATCATTTTTATAGACTGGCATGTTAACAGCTTTTTGTACTCTGACTATGGAATCCTTGTCAAACATGTCGGACTGAAAAAAATTGTTTTCTGATAAAAGAGGGGCTGCAGGACGGTAGAAAGTAATCAATTGGTTTGCAACATCAGTGATATTTTGTGCATTGAGTGGAGAGTGATCATTATGGGAGGGAGGTAAATCTGCACATTGGAGGAGAGATTTTAGTGAGCTGTGCTTACAATCCACAACACTATTCTCGTGGAAGCCTGTTAATTTCTGTTGCCTTGTGGCCAACAAGGTGGATCTCGTATTTTTTGCAGAGTTCAAGTAACTCAACACATTCGGCAAACGGTATTTGATCCTTACCGCCAATTATCAACATTGACTCGTCAGTTTTCAAAAACCAGCTCTAAGTTGTTTCTTACGAAAAACTCTTTAAGCTTCTTCTTTTTTTTTTCTAAAACAAGCAGATATATAGACGTACCAGGGATGGGTATACTGAAAGAAAACGGCTTCTCTTGCTCAGACGCTTCATGAGAAGAATGCACATCGATCTAAGAATTTTTTTCTTTTTGTCTAGTGTCTATTGTATAAAATAAGTCAACTCGTATCCTGTGGTATGAGTAGTTATGATAAAAATACTTAAAGATCACTACAAAAAAACACTTACATTTTGACCCAGAACCTTCCGAATTCGGATCTGAGCAAGAGATCACGACCTAGAACTTACACTTCGCTAGGACTAGTACAAATTGATCTTACCTTAAGAAGCTTATCAAGTTCAAACACCCTGTCCGGAAAGAAATTTTTCACCGCATCTTCAGCCTGAAAACGAAACGAAAATATTAAAGAAGACTAACGAAAAAGAATCAGAGATGTAAATTTTGCTGCGCAATGCACGAAAATGCTCACAAAGAACCATCTCAAAAACGTACCTCCTTTCTGACGGTTTCGTGAAAATCAGTAAGCTGGAACTCGCCAAGAAGAAATATTAATAAAAAGAACACAACGTACAACGTTTAAATTACAATAAATGTAAAGAGTTTCTTAATGAACAATTCGAAGCTAAAACAATTACAGAAATTGCCGGTGAAGAAGGAAAGTTATGTGGAGATACGAGCCGGGCACACACCCATGGCTAAAACGAAAACCCAAAAAATAGCAAAAGATATCGCTACCTTTCCTCTAGACGAATTATTCATGTTCAACTTCGCAAGTTACAGACCACGAGGAAAATGGAGAGAGAGTGAAATTATAAATGAGAACCTTACGAAAACAGTCAATTTCGCGGCTTTTTTCACAAGAGACCGCTGACAAACCATAGATGCATCCTGGGTCTCTCTAAAAAAGCCTCGTTGTCAGAGACACTAAGAATCCTGAGAACGAGGCTAATTCTAAAAATCTGGAATTTACAGTACCTTTATGAAAACAAAATAGTAATACTATCTGGAATCTTGCCTCGCCAGTCACAGAAGCTTCACTGTAGTGTGTCAACATTTATATCTCTGTCTGATCCTGTTCAGCTGTTATCGCTTTCCTGACCGCGTAGTCAAACTTTACAGGCCGCCGAAATGAGCGAGAGGGATGTTGTTGCAACTTGGGACATAGCTCTGTCCGACGGGAAGCATAGAATTCAGTTTGAACATGGCACTACTACCGGTAAGCGAGTGATTTTGGTCGACAATGTGGAAGTTATACGGAATAATTGGATGTTTAGACTTGTGGGCAAAGAGAGTTTCTATGTCGGAGGAAAAAGAGCAACTATCCATATAGAGGCAGTGAGTGGCTTTCAATACGAATACACTCTTGAAATTGACGGCAAACCACTTAAGAAGTTCGTGGAAAATCGCAAGAAAACTGCGAAAGTCTGGACATTTCTTCTCGACGGCGTGGAAACACGAATGGTGCTGGGTAAGGATAAGTTTAAATCAGCCAGGGGCGGCGGTATAATTGTTATTACAGCTTCTGTCGACTGTAATTTCCATCGCTGCCAATCGTGTTTGTATTTCAGTCAGTAATATGGGAAGGGTGATGGTGACATGACTGACAACACTGTCTACCACTCCATGCATTTCTCTCAATAAATTTTAAGCAGAGAATAAAAAAAATAATTTCAAAGCTGATATCATTTGTGTGTGAACAGAATCAATAGATTGAATACGAAGTTTCCATGGGTTTGAGATTTATCACGATCAAGTGTAACTGACAGCCTGCGCATTCAGATTTCCATAAGCTCGTTCTTATTTCGGGGCAGGTGTTTCTATCAAAGGAATCAGTTGTCTGATTTTTTTTCGACGAAGGACAACAACTTTGAAACGGTTTGCAGTGCAGTTGATACAACAGGTTACCTTGGTGTAAATTACCAACAACTACAATTAATTACAAAATGTCCACAAGTCTAAATACATAAATAAGTGATCACATATGCACAAATATAGATATATACACCTTAGTGAGCTTCATTTTCGTTTAATACCCCAGCCCCTCTCTTTCTTTATGCATCATACATTGAAACAGAGTCAGTGGAATTCAATTCAAAGAGCTTTGTCAAGCTTTTTGTTTCATATGCCAAGGTCTGTAAAATATCAAAACAAGAAGAAAGTATCACTTTAAACAATGTGTCCTAACTGTAATATTTTGGTTAGTTTTTAAACAAATGTGGATTTAATTCTACTTACTTTTTCAGAGAAAGATACCATGGAAGTGTGGGTGAATGGAGTGGTGGTGGAGACAGCTGTGAGTAAAATTATAATAATCCATGTTCATTTGACTGATGATGTGCTTGTATCCAGTTGATTTACTTCCAGCCTTTGCCATGCATTACTGCTTTCATTGTTCAGATGAATGAAAGTTTTCTTTTGTTTCTTGTTCTGTAACAGATCTCAAAATTTGCCACTTGTTAATTCATTCACTTACAATTTTCAGGGTGAATTTGTTGATGATGGAACAGAAACTCATTTTACCTGGGCCAATCACACATGTTATATCAAAGCCATTAGCTCTGGAAAGAAAAAAGATGGAATTATTCACTCCCTGATAATAGATAGTAATGAAATACCGGAGACAATGGATGAATGACATCACTGCTCATAAGCAAATGTAACTGCAATGACAGCCACATTCCTCTGCACATTTCACATCTAAACATTTGCTCAAGTTAATTTTAATAATATAACCCTGTCTTCATGGTAGTGTTGCTGAACACCTCTTTGAAGGGTACACTGTTTGAAACAATACTGTTACCGAAAATAAATTTTATAGCAATTGTGATTATTTGTTAGTAATGCAGTAAACTGAATCCTTCACTAAACTATAATTCTATGAAGCTGATACCCAAGTAGGTGTTTGTATGTTGGAAATAATGAGGGTAAAAGGGCATGTCAAATCACAGCTGTGAGTCCTATGGGTCTGTAACAGGGACCCTTTGATTATTGTTTGTTCCTTTCTCAGAATTGTTTTAACAACCTTTTGCCCTCATGTTGGCCAACTTATGCTTTGATTATTTTGCTTGGCTTCTCATTTCCTGATGATTGGTAGAATAGAGGGAAGATTCCCTTCTACATACTTTGTAGTCTGTGGTTTACCATAACATACTAAAATTTCCTGAGGAGATCAAATTATCAGTCATGCCAATTATGCTTACAGTGTACATGTGTATTGAACACTAAACTTTGTGAATGAAATAAATTGGTGCTTCTGTTCATGTGATGTTTTTGTGCAATGATATTACTTCTTGCTGCAAATGGAATGGAAGTGGTGCAACAAAAAAAAAATCAGGGGCTGCTTGATTTCCTTCATGTTCTCAAATAGTGACTTATCCATAATCCAAATATGGAAGCCACTTTCATAGACACTGATAGGTGCAAAGAAATTTCTTAATATTGTTCCTGTAGATGTCAGCAGGTTTGGGGTATTGAACTGATTGGAGTATGGTCACCCATTAAAGTATTACACAGTGAAAATGAGATAATTGCTGATACCAGTATAGTTCTGGCTAAAGATTTTGTTGAACTGACAAATCTGGAACTGTATGCAGTACTCATGGGTAGGTGGCTTTGTGGTTCTCTGGCATTTCCTACTCCCAAACATGCTTGGTTTATAACACAACTAACATTAAAGATATAGTTCAGTTTTTCCTTGTTTACATTGAGTTATTTCATTTCTGATAGCTGTCACAATCATGTGTTTACCAAGTGTCTCTGTATTTCATTTAAAGTGTGTTCTGATTCAATTTCTTTACAGGAAGGCACCTTTAAATTGGTACACATTAGCTGTACATATTGAACTATAATTGAAAATAAAAATGCAAAGTGAATATAAAGAGCAGATTTGTGGGGTTGTTGCTGTCCTTTGTTTTTCTAATCTTCTTCTAATCTTCATTTAAAAGAATTAAGAGCACAATCTTTCTCTAAATGTAGTTCTACTCATGAATTTTATTGGGGCTCATTAAAACCCTAGTCTGCTTTAATCATTTTAAACATTAAATGCTACAATTAACACCCCTATCTCTGGCACCCTTAGAAAAGTAAAAATCTTGAGTCCTCGAAGAGGAAGACAAAGTTCTTATAACAAATTGGTAAGAAATGGTATTTTGTCACGTTGAATTAAAAATTGTAAGAAGAGCTTTCAACTTGAAAGAGTGTTCATTGAGAGGGCCTCAAAGGTTATTTAAAATTGTTTGATAAGAAGTAGTATTTAGACACTAACATACACATCCAGAAAAAATCACCTACCAAGACTAGATATATTTTTCCAGTTTCAAAGAAAACTTACATGTAACTTGTCCTTCAAGAATCATTGTAATTATTATAGCTATTGGAAACAAGTGTTAATTGGAGTAATACAGCTGTTGCTTGCTATTCAATTTACAATAGTTCTTTATTTTGCCAAGTTATGTAGCTTCCAAATTTTCCCTTTATTTTCTTTTTCCTTCATTACATTCCTCTTTCATATTTGATGTTTTTCTTCCATATTTGGAGTGTTCTGCGTCTCGAAATTCCTTGTGGTCATGCTTATCATTCTTACTTTCTCTATCCCTGGAATTCTTTTCTTGTTTCCTATACTCTCTCTTTTCATCACAATCTTTTGATCGATTGTACCTATACTTTTCCTCCCTTCGCTTATGTGTCCTTTCTAAATCCTCTCTCTGATCACTAGAATTCTTCCCATGTTTGTAATCTTTCATCCTATCTCTTTGATAACTGCTAGTTCTTCCATCCTTCAAGTTGTCTCCCCTGTTTCCTGAATCTTTGGTGTTAACTCTCTCATTTTGACTTTTCACCTCCTTCTTCTCAGTGAATTTTCTGTGGAGTTCCTGGGACTTGTATGTAGTGTTTCCTTTATCAGCTGAAGTTGGTAAAGTTCCAGGAAGCACTCCACCCTGTTCTGTCCCTTTCACAAACCTTATCAACAGTTTTGGCCTAAGAGCCTCCTTCAATCTCAAAGTATCAGCATACTCTATTACTTTTTCAAGGGTATCCTGTTGTTGTGTTGGTGTGGAAGAAAGTTCCTCATTCTCAAATGATGTTCTTGTTTCTTCCTCTGTTATGTCTTCCTCTTCCTCTTCTTCACTACTTGATTCAGCAAATGCAGCAGCAGCAGTAGTCTTGGTAGGTTTAGATTTCAAGCCAAACTGTATAACATTTGCACATTTTTTTTCCCCAAGACTGAAAGAAAGACCCTGCTTTGCAGTAGATATACCAATAGGTCTCTGGGGCTGACCTTGCTCAGAAGATGAACCCATTTTGAAGCTAAAAGGCTTCTTAGCTTGTTGATCTAATGGTGCTAAAGGTGGTGGTGGAGGTGGAGGGACTGGTTCATCAGGGAGGGGTGGAGCAGGCTCAGTTGGAAGAGGAGGTGCAAATTCAAAGGGTTTTGGAGGTGGGACTGCTTGAAAGCTCTTATGTGCTGAGATTGGCTTAAAACCCGATGTGCTGTTTGGACCAGTAGATGAAGACTTGAACACTGACTTAAATCCTCCATTGCCACTGCTGATTACAAAAAACATAAACAAAAACAAATAGAATTATTGAAATTAGCAAGAAAATTCACAACACTCTAGGTATTAATTCATTCAGCCTGATTTGCTCCATTACAGAGCTTACCTAAGTGACAGATTTATAAAATAATAAAGAGTTAAAGGACAAATAAAATAAAATGAGAAAAAGAGGGCTACTTAAGTCAATGCAATGTACAATAACCTTGATTCAGTGTTCTTTCCAGAAATAAGGTGGAGCCTCATCAGTTCCTTTTCCATCTGTTTCTGTTCTTTTTTCTTCTTTGCAACTACAATAAGAAAAATTCATATCATGAGCTGTAAAAATTTACACAAATAAAGCTCTTGTTTGGAATTTCTAACAATAAAACACCACCTTCTTGAGTGGTAACTGGTCAAGTCATGCAAATTCATCTCGCCCAAAGTCATGTCCCCCAATTTTTATCACTTGTAAGAACATCAAAATGTTATATGTAATGGTATATTTTTAGAAACCACTGAAGGTAGCGATTAATAAAAACAACCTTTTGGTGTATTTACTTGTATTACCATTCCTTCAATAGTGAAATTTCATTGTAAATGCAACCTGATTCAAACATTTAGCAAACACATACAACCAACATAAACAAGGTTTACTAAATTCAACCTATGATCTGAAGAGTATTACGAAAGTGCTAAACTAAAAAGAACAATCTTTGTATTCACAGACATCTTCACTCTTAAATTGTTAATCGAATAAACAAATCAATGCAAAACATATAGTGAAGCAGAGGAAACAGATTGAAACAAATGTATCACATTGTCCTAAAGGAAGAAAATAAACCTGAACTAAACTTCAGCAGATGCAAACTAAACCTGAACAAATGGAAGATAACAGCCAAAATACACAAAATACAAAAGAAAACCTAGCATAGAAACAAAGAAAGCACACAACATAGACCTAATTAACATAAACTACCAAATAGACTGTTCAATGCTGCATTTTGTTTCTAACAACGCTTTTAGAGTCATGACTCAAACAAATTGTAGTTCTGACCACATAATCAATTTCTTTGTCTTCATGTTGTTGTTGGCAACCTACACCATTGAGTGATAAAGTTCCTCAAGTTTAAAAAAACATCTATGAGTACGAAACAAGAGATAAAAAAATGGCAGGTAATTTAGTGTTAACAACTGGGTTGAAAACGTAAATTAGCCACCGTAAAGGGTAAAAAAGCTGACGTTTCGAGCGTTAGCCCTTCGTCAGAGTGATGGGGCAACTTGACTTTTTATTTCAGGAAACATATATTAGGTTTTGGGCAACATGACTTCCAGGAAAATCAACTGTGAACATCTTGATTAACAAAAGAAATAAGGAGGAAAAAAAACCTTGAAGCAGATTCCATATAACTTACAAATATTTCTGGTTGATTCTCTTTGCCTAAGTTCCCTGAGTCGCTGTGGAAAGATTGCCATAAAAGAAATCAGTATTGAATAATACATCAAAGGGTGGGTTGTACAGTCATTTAAGATTAATTTGTTAAAAGTCTGAACCAAAAGTCTACCAGAAAATAATTAAACTGCTTTATCAATATCATCCTGAGTTTATGTCAAAAGATTTTTGTCAAATCAAGGCATGAAGATACTCTATGAAACAAAACAATGTTTTCAGCTTAGGGTTATTAAGATGTCACTTAACCTGGCGGTGTGCATGGTCATAAGAGTTGATATGATTATCATATTCCTTGTATTTAAAATACTGTTTGTCACAAAGTTCACAATAGAACATCTCTTTTAGATCTTTCAAGCTCTCCTCGATTGCTTTTTCCTTCTCTTGCTCATTCTGTAGAAACGAACAAACAAAAGTTTTCTGTCAATGTCCTTTAACTTACTTTAAACAGTATATCAATCAAATTATAAAAATGGTAGTGCATTTATCAGGTAACTACTTTTTATCAATATTATTGCTTCATTGTTTATTCTTTGTAGATCCAAAAAAAGGTTATTCCTGGGTAATACAAAGAGGAACTTAAACCTGATATTTTTGCTGCAGTTCTTCATTATCTTCTTTCTCAATCTCCAAAACTTTCCTGTTACGAGTAGCTTCATCCGCTTGCTCAAACTGACCAGGAAATAAAACAAACCAGATGTTTCCAACTCAAATATTTTCTTATGTATTAATTGACTTGAGGTCCATACTGATACTTAGATACTTTACCGCAGAATTATGATCATAAAGAAATCATAAGAACTTTTAAAACCTGTGCCAATGCACCTAAATTGTAAAGAGTTAACAGGATTCACCAATAGAAATTTATACAAAATATATAAGTATTACATAGAGTAATCATCTCATATACAGAAAAAAAAAATAAATGGAAACAATGATTATAAATATGATTCCAGTTTAAAATGATAACTTGTATTTTCCTTTGTTAAGAAATAATGTAATGTACCTGGAACAAAGGGAAAAAATTATCAAACCAAAAATCACTTAAAACCATTTGCAACCTGAAATTAATTTCTAACTATGTTATAACAGATACATACTAAACAAGTGTGAAATTTTGTCCATTGTTTAAAGTTCAAAACAAATTAAATCCTTAGTATACTAGTTCTATAAATTACTATGTTACTATTAAATAAAGGAACTCCACTGAGATGAAAGCATGTGCGATTTACTTGAAAGGTCTGTGATTATCAATCACTTTGTTAGATCTGTAATTAGAGATGACAGAGAGAGATACACACCTCAAGAGTAAGACGGCCGATACATAAAGAATCCTCCTTCATGACAAGAGGTATTGGTTCTGTGCGACCTGAAACGAGATGTAAGCAGGAATTTTTTAAGTTGTTTATTAGTGACGGTAAAAAAGACTCAAAGTCACACTGTGACAGCTTTTAGCTGGCATTTTGATAAAAGTATTGAAAGAACTATCAATAGTCACTAGCGTTACCAAACTCAAAGTTAAGCTCTACAATTAAAACGGGCACTTTAATTCAAAGTACACAACTGACTATGATACAACTGCTCTTTACCTTGTTTCTTCTTCCCAAGTCCAGATCCACTGATCCAACCAAGTCGCAAAGCCATCTGATATCCAATATTTTCCTGAAAACGTTACGCACTGAAAAATTCAGCAGGGAAACCAACAACCACTTGAATCTAAATTGTCTTTTCAAATAAAATAGTTATCTGTCCAATGCACTCGCATACACCGATACAGTTATGCTTACTTAAAATAAAGGTTCTAAGCTTTAATTTCGATCTTTTGTTTCACGCTTAAAAATGTAACTAATAGTCACTATTAGTAAACGTATGGAGCTCAGTAATCATTATTAATTACCTCAGTGATGTGTGCATCCAAGGTCGCCTTTTCCACAGTTGGTTCATCATCATCAAAATGAGATAGATCGGCACCTGCACTCTATAATGGCACAGAAAAGGAAACTCATAACAAACAGACCTCCATAGAATTAAATGGTTCAAGAGTTCTGCAATAATTAGACTCTTTAAAGAGTTTAGGTCAGCTACCTCGTAAGAACGATTCTCGTGAAACCTCGAAAATTTGGCTGCCATTTTTGAGCAGATTATTACGCATGCCTTGTGATGGACTTGCCGCAGTCCAAACGGTCAGAAATGCTCTCGCATCGACGTCAGCCGCAATTTGCATATTGTGCCAAAATCAAAATATTGGAACAATAAAATCACAATCGATACGATATTTTATTGTTCTGACAATAACTTTTCCTACTATCGGCATCAGTTCAGTCCAGCTGTAACTTCCTGTCTGTCTCTCTGTGATGGAGAATTATTTTCCTTGCGTAGATACCTGATCCTCAACTGTGACTGGGTGGTCGATAATAATTTTGAATGGCAGTGCGACGGCCGTCAATCTCGGTGTAATCGTGCGATTATAATGATATTGATATAAAAAAAAACGAAAAATGATAATGAAAATAAGGCTTAAATAATGCTGGTAATGTTAATGATAATTCACATTTTATACAGTGCCTATTCGAAAAGGTCTGGGCGCCTAAAACAACAGATGGATAGAAAAAAACCATATCTTAAATTAAAAGCAGATTGAAAAACATACGTGCTAATTTTAGATTTAAATGAAGAAATACCAGAACATGATCATAGAGATGAAATTGATCCATAGTTCTGGAGCAGTGGCAGGAAAGGATCTTGTTCCGCACAATTAAGAACTAAAATCCGCAGGGTTCCCGTAAGAATCTGGCGTTAGTTTCAGAGGAATAAGATAAAAAAATAAAATAAATAAAAAAGATGCAGCTTGATGAGGGTGAAATCAAGGAGGAGAATGGCTTTTCTTTGGAAAATCAACCGACAATGTATACTGAAAACGTGTTTCAATCATCCGCAAGTACTTTTGCTACAAACAAGAAGAACCAGCCTACACAATGTGACGACCAACGACTCGAAATGACGACATGGAGTCTTCATCAAGGGAACTGCTTCAGTATCAGAAATGATCTACGGGCAAAGGAAAAGTCATGATCAGAACGCTACGTATTTGAAATGGTACAACAACACCAACATTCTAAAACGGTCCGTATCATAATTAACAAATCGAGAATCCTTGATTGTGCTCTATTCTGTTGTAAAGCACGCAGGAAGCGGCTGGAGCACGAAAGAAGTTTAGGGAGAGATGAGAGATGTAGTGCTCTAGCCGCTTTCTGCGTCCTTTACAACAGAACAGAGCACAGTCAAGTCTTCTCTGTTTGTTTTATGATAAAGAATCCGATAAATTCCTCACGCATTACTTTAAATTTGACTTGATCTTTTTTAATGACTTTATCTTTTTAAATAGGCATTGTATAAATGTGAATTATCACTATTATTACCAGCATTATTTGAGTCTTATTTTCATCATCATTGTTCATTATTGTGACTTTGAAAAGTCCTTTGGGAAAGTCGGTTCAAAGTTTCTATGCGAAATCCCGGCACCAAAATAAGCAACCCTCACATCCACCAGAAATACTTAGCTAGCGAAGAAGAAAGAATGAGAAACGATGAAAACGATGATGAAATGTTAAATCTTACATGTTGAATGTTATACCCATGTCAAAGTGATCAATTTTGCGATCACTTAAACATGGGTATCAGGTATGAAGCGGTGGTGAGAACCATTGTCTTCGCCACTGTGGCCTGAGTTCGACGTCCACACCTGACGTCACATGTCAGTTCAAATTTGTCTTAAGATGGCGTCCTTGCCGTCCGGCGGTTTTAGCACTGGCTTTTCCAGTTTTCCAGCCTCAACACAAAGACCAACTTTCCAAATTTCAATTCAAATTCAGAGACAAAAGAAGAAACACCACCTCGAAGAAGTCCCACTATTAAAATCTGAAACAATTTCAATTTTCATTGCCATAGAATACGCAATTTTGGGTAAGATTCCTTTGTAGAGCTAATAGAAGACATTTTGGGTAAGATTCCTTTGTAGAGCTAATAGAAGACATTTTGGGTAAGATTCCTTTGTAGTGCTAATAGAAGACATTTTCCGCGATCGTTCTAATTTCGCATTATACCAAAATGTTCGCTTGACCGCTGATACGAGAGTCAGTCGCAAAGTTTTGCTTCCCATCGAGAAGCTTCAGGGACATCTGTTTGCCACTGGACAGTAACAGTAAATACTATGTCAGTTTTGACAAGAACAGCCCGCAAATATTAACCTCTTTTGCCAGCGTGTTTGACAAAGTAAGTCATGCTAATAAATTAAATTGAAGATGAATCTGATCAGTCAGAAAATAAAAGATCTCAAAAGTAAGTAAGCGGCACATCTGATGCCGAATAAAGAAGTTTAATGATATGAGCAGACCTTCATCATTTTCTTCTGAGCGAGTGCGTCACCGAGTAAACAAACTCTGCTGAACATGACAAATTTGAATTAAATCAACAAAGGTTAAAGGAAAAATAAACAACCTGTCAAGAAGTAGTCATATCATCACATTGATAGAAACCCAACCAATAAGCAGGTGTGCTGCGTTATAAAGTTTTCACCTCGATCTGTTGTTGAACTGATAGTCTGCATAAAATCAAGTTTTAACAAAGCTCGTGTATAATTTGTTTTCACTGAGACATAAAACATGATTTAAACCGGTTTACCGCACCATTTTCGGTTGTGTCGAGAAGCCGCTATAAAGTATGTAGTGACTGAATTCTCACCTTGCTTTCCCCGAATAAATCACTTCGTTAGAAAGCCTGCTCTCCATTCAAACAAAAAGCTTTGCAATTGGTTCACGTTAGGATTGCGCAAAAACATTTACACCCCGTTATTAGATCCAATTGTACCACTGAAAGAAGGAAGACGTAACACACCTACATCAAGAGAATGACCCTAGTTCTTTCTTAAGCGTTTTTTACTACTAAAAGAGAATTTTAATTTAGTTTAGATAGCTTGTCTGTCTATCCTCATAACTTAAATCATTGATACAAAGGCAACAAATGTTATTTTGAAGATTTTTTAAACAGTGTTTGTCATTGTCATGTTTGCGGCTTGATATTTCCCTCTCTTTTTTTTCTTTTGTGTAAACATTCACTAAACTGCGCAGAAAAATATTGAACAGTTGGTGGCGTTTCCCCTGTTGGACTCGATAGTTTAATGCCGGAATGATGAGATTATCTGTGTATTTTAATGCGGCTGTCGTACAAGTACACTGATGTTCTGGGAAAATGACATAAGAAAGACAGTTTACCACGTTATCTTCGGCATCCTTTAGATTTACATATTCTTGTTGTCAATGAACTACTAACATATGGAGCAAAAGAATTAAACTGATCTTAATACAGATATCGTTCAAAAGCGCTGGTGGATAACATCTTTCAGTCGCATTAATCTTGAAGGAAACTATGAAGCACTTAGCACCAGCCAGGGAAAAAACGGACCGTCAACACGTGCAACTCCCATCAACAGTTACCTAAATTGTTTTCACGGAAACAATAGTGTGAATATCATACTGTATCACGCTGTACTGGTTCCAACATTAAGAGCTGAGAGAGCGAACTACAGGAATACTGAGCAAAATTTGTCTAAACATGTCGAATGATCCAACCAATTCTACTCATGGCAACACTACCACCGTTTTTATCTACGAACTCGAAGAAGGAATATTACAAGCAGTTTTTCTTTTCGTTATCGTCATTTCTGGCGTCTTCGGAAATCTGTATATTTGCAGCGTAATTTACAAAAACAAGAATTTGAGAAATCCAACTTTTATTTTTCTCGTAAATCTCGCCGTAGCAAACATTGGAGCGCTCACGCTGTGTAGCCCGTTTGCGCTCATTAACAGCATTCAAAGGAGATTCACAATGCAACAACACTGGTGCCTCATCAATGGATTTCTGAACAATTTCTTTTTTTGTATTTCCATTTTCACCTTGTCCCTCATAGCCGGTCAGAATTATTTTTCAATTGTTAAACAACCATCTTGCGAATGGCTACAAATTACAAAAAATAGGGCCAAGTTTCATTTACTTGCTATGTGGGGTCTTTGTTTCGCATTTTCTTTTCTTTCGCTGGGCCCTTTTGAAAACTGGAGTTACGTGGTGTTTAATCCGACAACAGCGCATTGTGGAATAGCTTTCCCAAATTCACTTGCCGACAAATTGAAGTTGTCATTACTTGCTCTAGTGGCATTTATTGTTCCAATTTGCGGCATGTCTTTCGCGTATTGTCGAATTTTCTTTAAGGTCAGTTCACACGAAGGCAAAATGAACCAGAACGCCGAACGTCAAGGTAACCAGCTGTCGGTGGTTACCAAAAGACTCGCTGTCACATTATGCCTGATGTTCAGCACTTTTCTTATTTGTTGGTTGCCGTTTTTCATCCTTATTGCACTGGCAATTGTTTCAGAGGATGTGTCGACCCTTCCTTGGTACCTTGGTCGCATTGCCTACTGGAGCGGATACCTAAATTGCGCCATGAACCCTTCTCTATATTGTTTGCGATCTTCTGCCTTCAAAGATGTGATACGCCGACCTTCGTCAGCAAGTGCTGAAGGTTCAGTCAAACCGTTAGTCAACAGGAGTCAGAGGGCTTTCTCACTACCCGCCATATCGTATAATATGAAGCGCCCCATATCAAAACGAGTTGGAAGGCAAAGTTATCCGAACGCCGGTCTGAGCGTATCGACTCACGATCTGCCAACATGCGCCGAGGTGGATGTGGCTCGCTTGAGAGCGTACTCTTGTTCCAGTTATGAAATAAAATGCAAAGAAAACACACAGATAAATCAACAAAGTGTAGAGCTATAGCGAGACAGAGAAGTCAGTACAGGCAGCAGTGTCAAATGAGCAATTTGCGGTGAGTCGTGATGTGAATGCAAGAAAGGAGACATTCGGAATCTGAGCTCGTCACTAATCGGCGGAGATAGCCTTTCAACAGCACAAGGCAAAAAAGGACGTAACCACTTTAATCTGACTTCCGATGTAGCAGTAAAGCGTATCTCATGACTTTCTCGCGCGAGGCGCTCGAGGAAGGTATCTATGTAGGACAAATTATTTCAATTGCAATCAATAGTCGCGTTTTTCGTGAGACAAAATTTCGAGAGCGAACCAAGACTGTCTGATTATAAAACTGATGGTAGAATAAAAATAAAAGGATTGCTATTCTACCCTCTCGGGTTCCATGCACTGCAACTATCAAAGCATAAAATTACGCAACAAAAGTACGAACTTTCGTTTACCCTCGATTGCAAAATTGTTGACACCTAAAAAGCATAATCTACGATGAAACCCAACGGTTTAATGGGAATGTTCGAATAGTTACATGATCAGTGCTGTACTTTTTCCATTATCAATGGAAAATCTTTGTCTATGATAATTCTTTTCTTTTAGGAATGCGTTCACGGCGTCTATCATTTACCACGAGCAACTGATTTTGGTTATTGTGTAAATGCGTACCCGTAAAGCCAATAACTCGTCCTTCATTGCGAACGCTTTTTAGGCGTCGACGTTTTTGCAATCGAGTGTATCTGTAATGTAAGAAAAGAAGACAACAAATTGACAATACTAAAAATTTATTTCATGACAGTAATTTTAGTGTCAAACGTAAGACGCTTTAAGGCTCCCTTAACAATGATAAACTTAGCCTAAATTACTAATAGAAGTGTTCATACAGTGAACAACAAAAAGCCAAATTTATTGTTATGTACAAAAAAAAAGGAGTGTGACGGAATGGAACAAAATTTAAAACGCCTCTTCAAAAATGGCAAGCACTATTAGTATTGTTTTACGTGAATGCAAATAAACCTTGATTTTTGAGTGGAATTTCAATTAAAAAAAAAAAAACATCTTGTTGAGGCTTGGACGGCTAGTTTACATGAATATATAAATATAAAAAATAGGAATCAGATATAAAAAATAGAAATCAGATGTCTATGTACGACGCCATAACTGTCTCTGTTTTTTTATGATCCTACCTGGTAAGTTCTCTAGAGGTTTGTTGGTAAGTTTTCTTTTTCTCTCCACAAATCCCTCCACTCACCCCTTCCTCCCACCCCTTCCTCCCACCCCTTCCTCCCACCCCTTCCTCCCACCCCTTCCTCCTTACCCTCACCTTACCCTGGAGCTTAGTATTCAAGCTTCTCAACAATTGTTTTTTGTTTCTTTTTTTCAGTGAAGTAGTCTGGCTGCTGAGCATGTTGCTAGCACAATTTGAATAAGCACCCTAAGAACATTTCAAGTTCTCCTACAACAGCAAAAATGTTTCAAATTATGAGATAATTACTTTGATTTAAAGGATATTTGCATACTGCACATTGAACCAAACTTACTACATTAAGTATAGGTAATCTACAATATATCAGTTACATTGGCTTCAACCCCACAAAAGCCCGCAACTGTTCAAAAACAAAGAATGTTACAACTGTGTGAGTTCCAGTTCTTGTCCAGTTTGGTATAAACCCTTTATAGAGACCAAAAAGCCCTTCTTTGTGAACTGTCTTTGCTATACAGTCTATTGTTCCTCGGTAAAGCAGTGGTTTCTTGTTGCAATCCTTCTTTTGATTCATGTACCTGGTGCGCACCATGTCTATTGGTGATGAGACACAGTTTGTCACAAATCCTGCTATGGAGGAAGCCATTATGTGCAGAACAGGTCCTTCCTGAAGAAGTCCAGCATTTAATATTTTATGTTTGGCATGATCATATGAAGATACAGCTGTAGCTGATACAAGTGCAGACCTTTTCACTGTAGCATTCACACCTGTCCAAAGTCCACGAATTCCTTCATTGGCAACAATTGCTTGAAATGCATGAAGTGTGTGTCTATACTCCCATTTATTTCCAGATGGTAATGCCATCAAACGGATCTTTACCACATCAGTGGGGCAAGCTATGGCACTTCCAATTGCGCCAGCAATTGCTCCAGAGCAGACCTTTTTCCACAGTGGTGTGTGAGCAGGGTCTGTTGCTCCAAACCACTCTTTCAGAGGTTCATACAAGCCTAGTCGCAGTGTACTGTAACTGGCTTCTCTCATCAGTGAGGGAGTGATACTGGAGTAAAGAAGATAAAAGGAATTTTTTTGCTAAGACGTTGAGCCTCTTCCTGTTCTGTTTACTGGAGTAAATTTTCTGTAAGCAATCCTAAAAGCATGGAAATTCACTAAAACAACATCCTCTGATTAATGGAATATACATGTTATAACATTCTGATTGCACTTGAATCATAGAGTGGAAAGTTGTGCATAAATTTTAAGTCAATCATTTTAGTGCGCTAAACACCAATTTAATATTTGAACTTTCCATACTTTTTTATCATAGTACATAATACTCAACAGCTAATCATGTAACATTTTGATCAATCAGTATTGTCTAGTTGACAAATAGGTTCCATGCTGTTGTGTCTGATGAGCTATACATCACAGATGACATCAAAAGATGGTAAGAACAAAAAGGGGGCACACAAGGCATAGCTAATGTTCTTACCACATTTTGACATTCTCAGTGAACTTTTACTCAACAGACCCATTGAAACAAGGGATCTATTTGTTTCATATAAAATAGAAACAAAAATTGTTAAAATAGACATGACTAAAGTCCTCAAATAGATCAAAACTGGGAACCAATCAAAATGCAAGCATATTTGTTGATCAGCTTATTATATAAAAAAGACAGCTTACCTATGTTACAAAGAGAGGATACTTCTGAAGCAAATTTTGATCAAAAGTTATCAGAAATATGCATATGCAACATACATGAAGTCAATATTAATTACTATCCTTTTCATTCAATGAAACTCTTCTGGTAAATCCTGGCCATCTTTTCAGACAGATATCCAAAAAATGAAATTTTATGGTTTTCCCTCTTCACATCAATGCAGAGGCTTAACAAGAGAACAGAACCAATGCCAGAAGAACTCACTCTTTTGATTGAAAATTAAACCCAAACAAAATCCATTTTGATACAAAACAAAAATATGCTTGGAAAGAAAATTCATTGACAATGTTTACTTGTTTTATGTAAGCATCAGTCTAAGATCACATCAATTAATTGTTGCAATTGCATTCCATAACTGAAATAGCCATCTGACCCATTACAAAAGCTCCTCTTTTCTGCATGAATCATTATAGTTCTCATTTACCCATTTAAGGAAATTATTAAAAAGGGAAGTCTTACAAAAGATAACAATTTTTAATTACTTTACAGCTAATTAAAAATTACCTAACCCTAACCATAGAATGTTACATCATTTGACATTCAAATTTAAATTATTTCTTACTGCATAAATTGGCCCTCAACTCTTTAACTCCCATGAGTGACCAAGACAGAATTTCTCCTCAAAATATCCATATAATATCAAGCAGACAAGTGACAAGAATAAAGAGAAATATCAATTAGGGATTATTAGTTGATCTGATAACAAATCCTCAGAACTAAAATCAAAAGAATTGTATGGCAGTCATCAAGGAGAAGTATTAATGAGATCTTGAGAGTGAAAGGGGTAAGGCATATGTTCAGCCGTGCTAGTGCTAACTCACCCTTTGTACAGACCACGTATCCCTTCCTCATGAGCAATCCTTGCTGCCCCTCGAACCAAACCACGATAGTAACGGTTATGAAATATGTTTCTGCTTTCATGTTGGGAGCCCAATTCATTATCAAGCTGCATGCGAGTCTTAATTACATCTATAGGATTTGTAACTAGAAGGAAAATGAATTACAGTTACATTTTGGTGAAAATGCAGGGCAATCAGAGGCAAGTTTTAAAATACCTGAGTATTATAAAATGATTATTTTACATTGAGGAACAACCATAAACACAACAAGATAAAAATGTTGCAGGCTATTACTTGACTAGCTCTTACATGTCACTAACTTGGTGACTTTCCCAGGAGTTTCCAAAATTACCTACAATTCATAAATTATGCGGCTCTACTTATCAGTTATCTTTTGTAACTTGAACTTGGCATATGTTGTCTGGCAGCTGTGGGGGAGGGGAGGAGAGGGGTGTGTGAATGGGGGCCTATGCCTTACCCTAACCCCAACTTGAGTGAAATCCCAGGTTACTTCATTCCAACAACATTGTGATAAAGTTACCTACAGGAGTTATGTGTTTCTATCACTGATATTCCACAAATTGGCACGGAAAATCAAGGTCTCAACTACTTCAAGACCTAACTTTGTCCGATGCAATTGCCTGTTTAAATTTCATTGTGCATAACACTACAAAGTACGTCTTTTAATAAGCTCAGTTACTCATATTGACATCCTCAACAACACCACATCAACCAAAGAGATAAATTGTTAGCAAAATGTTACATTAACATGAAAACCGACCCTTAAATTCACGAGCAGTTCCCAAGAGGAAATAATATATTTTATCGTCTATCATAAATAATAATGTACCTGGGTACTAGTTTTATAAAAGCGACTTCATAGTCGCTGTGACATTCAGAAATTCCGCTTGGGTCAGCTTGACTAAATACTTCACGGTCCATCCTTGCAGTATAAACAGTATACAGTAAGAGCAAAGAAGAATATAACAATCTACTGAACCAAGCAGAGCTTACCTGTTGCTGCGCACATGCAGGAGAGCCCACTCAAAGCAAAGCGAACTAAATTTTCATGTTCTTTACTCTGACGTCGTGGCTGTCTCTTTTCGCACAGTCCTGTCGCCATTTGGTCAAAGACTCTTGATTGTCACCTTTCTTGCTGGTTATTTACAAGAATCTCCGTGGGAGCTTTACTCGCTGTCCTCCAGAAAATCACGAAATCTTCGATGATAAAGCGCCGGCATAGCATGTTTCGATGGGTTATCGAAAGACCGACTTAATATTTACAACAAGAACAAATAATCTTCCAGAGATGACCGATCGAAGCTTATTGCGTATAATTCTACCAACAGACAGCTGTAGGACTAGCAAACCCTCTACAGAATCTAACAGAAAGAACCTGAAGAAATAAAACCTGATCGACTGAAAAACACAGGCTCAATATCTCAATACATGACGTAAGAAACAATTTGCACTTTATAACACGTGCAACGGAACCATGGAATAATAGGACCATGGAATGACAACCTGGGAACGAGGTTTAGGCACAGGTTATCCACCTTACCAAATCAAAGCAGTTGACTACAGTCCTGTGGATTTCGGTCAGAATAGTTATTGATTCGAGCAGGGTCTTAATGTCATCAATATTATTTTTTGCCGTGCTGCAAAATTTAGCTGTGTATCTGTAATCAGTTTTCACCGTCGGCTTGGAGTGAGATTCAATGAGATGGCGTCATCAGCCACTGTCAGCCTCGAACTCACCACCCCAAACTAGAATTTTCGATCAACCATTCAATGGTTCTTATGATTTCTGGTTTCTGATCAAAAAGATGTGACTCCATTTCTCCGGCGAAATTTTGGTTTTAACAGTCGCAGGTCTACTTTGTCCTTTTTGGGGATGCCGTCAGAGTATGTGTCATGACAGGCTTATCTCCCGTGTAGATCTCAAAGGGGTCACTCCATCGAAAGACTTGAAATTTTTGTAAAACTAGCCGTTACATCAGAATAGAAATACACTTCACATTCCAGTATCATGTCAGATACCAGTGAAGGGTCATCTCCATTCTCGCCACCTTTCTGCGTCAGTGAGTAATGCAGGAAAAAAGAGGGAAGAAATTAGATTTCAATCTATCGAAAAGGCAAATAACAAACCTCTCTGGTATGGCCGTAAAACCAGCATGTTACCCCTGATGAGTTCTCGTATTTTTTCAGACGATACAAAAACATTTCAAGAATATTTCCTGCTCTCTCGAATTTTTTACACGATCTCAGTGTTTGAAGTCACTATTTCCCCGAGTATCCTATTGATTGCCATGACCTCATATCATCACCGAAGAACTCAAATTACACGCACATGCGAACACTTGGCTCTTTGTGCTTGTATTTCAATCGCCTGCAGTGGTTCCTTGTAGTCGCACGCTGACGACGCTCGCCCTTCGTCAGATTCTTTCGGGCAGAAAAGCGACGGCAAGCGAACTTACGCACAATCTCCACGTAAAACTGAAGTTAAAAACTTAGTGCTGCCGACAGTCAAATGATGATCACGAGGTTCTTAGTATTGCTGTGGCTCAGTAATTGGGTAATCGGAACGTTCAGTGAAAGTAAGACACGATTTAATTGTCTAAATACATTGAGTGTTAAACTAATCTAGTAAAAGTATTCTAGGAACTATTATCACCCAACCTACAAATTTGTTTAGACTTGTGAATTATACTCACTAAAAACAAGTCTGCATTTGTCTTAAATCAGCATAATTACTAATGGATTTTTCTACATATCACCTTTCCGGCCATTTATGTCACAGAGCTTATTGTTTTGCACAATGCTCCTTAGAATCCAAAGCGCGAGTTCTACAATGTCTTTCAAGACATGAACGGGTAATTGATAACCTGTATATTACAACCTTCGTTTGAAAAACAGCCCGTAGAGACCCAAATACATTACATTAAACCGATATTAGCACGAGATACAAGTAGTTGATCACCATTTCATCACAACAGTCACGTGCCGCGGAAAGCAGACGAATTTCGCGTCCTCACAATAGTCCAGTAATTTTCTCTTTTCCCTCTGAATCTAAAGGCCAGTTTGAATATTGCATTTCGATCAATTATCTTCAAATCCTTTTCCTATTAACAAGATAATGTTTTGTCTGTGTCAGCAGCGCCAGCTGCCCTTTTTTCGTAAGGCTACCGACCGAATTTGCCGCAGGTCAAGTGAGGCATGTAACTTAACAATGTAGTAAAGAACAGAGTCGTTAGCTTGACATGGAGACATAACATGTAACACTGTGTCACAGATTCCGCACTTGGACGCTGTTCCACTTTACTACTGTAATGATCATGCCATTATTAGGGTTAGGGTTGTCATATGTGACACAGGTCCAGCCTACTGTTAGGAATAGCAATGCCGAAAGCTTCATGTGAGTAACTAGAATAAGAAAGATGGTAACTTTTAAACTTGGCAATGGAATCAAGATTTTACATGTTTTTCTGTATCGTCACAAGCGTGAGACAAAGAGAAAAAATCGTTGGACGCAGAATAAACACGAAGTCCTGCGTCAGTATGTAAGACCATGAAACGACTCGAGACTTCACTTTTGTTATTGCAATCAAGATCATTTGGTTCCCGCCTTTTAAAAAATTGAATAAGATTCTTAAGATTCCATTAAGCCTTCATTTACGTGTCGCCTATCAATAAAGCAGTAAGTGATTATGACTCCAGGCTGATCTCAGAGTGGTCATGTGAATGACCAAAGTTTTAACAGTCTGTGCGGAAGTCAAACGGTACTTAAAATACATATTACACACATGCTAACCTTAGGCTGATACAGAACTTTAAAAAGGAAAATTATTTAATGATAATACCATATAGACTCAGTAAATAGATTAATATAACCTATGATAATATCGATAAGATATTTACAATAAAAAATGCATACAACTTGAAAGCTAAAATTTTCGAATGACCTCAACTTTTCTTTAAAAATTGATCTAATACCTTGAAAAAAGTAATAATGATGACAATTTTATCCCATCTTCAGTGTTAACACCTTGACTCTGATAATTGTTTTGGGTAATTGTTGTTGCTTCTAGAAATTTCCAGACTGCTTAGTCATGCTGACTTACGCGCCAAAGAACTTTCCAGAACATTTCATCAAATTACACATTTATTATGTAATACTCCTAAAATAGTTCCCATGTAAGCTTCTGGAATGATCCAGAACACTTTGTGAATATATACAAAGACTCACTTATGTAGTAGTTGTTGTTGTCTGAGCGACGGCTGTTTTGAAAGCTATACCGAGAGAGAGTTACTGCGGACGATGGCTTATTTCAAGGAACTTCGGAGACAGCAGTGAGATTGTGTCATTGGTGAGCTAGGATATAGACTGGGGTGGGGTTAATTAAGTTTATTAACGATAAGTATTGTACTGCTTTTGGAAGTCGCTCCTTGTTAAGAACATTATTCGCTGTTTAATAAAGTAGTTGAGTTTGTGGGATTGTAGTGTTTTTCTGTCGGTTAGATTATACTGTGCTGTTGCTGATTTTTCCAGTTCATTATGTTAACTGACAGCCTGCCTTATTAGCAAGTTGACCGAGTAGTGTGACTGTCTGGGGAAAGGTTGTCAAGACAGTTATTGGTGGAAACGACCTTTTTAATAACCTTTTCGAGCAACGTTGATAACGTTTATAAACTCCGACGATGACTTCAGCGCTAGTTATCGAAACGTCAGTGACTTCTACCTATTACAGACATTTTCCCCCTCAGACGGTCACATGACTTGCGTAAAGGACTCAACTGATTTTGTGATAAAGACTGCAAGTTCCTGTTTGTTCCTGTATTATCAATAAATTAAGAGCAAATATGTACTACACGTTTCGTTATCACACCGTAAATAATAATTTCTGGTGTAGGAAACATCAAGACAAATTCGTACAGGATAAGACGGCAAACAGACGTCACTGATGGGGATGGGGTAAGTCACTAGTTGTCTGTATGGGTCTTGCAGCCCGGACAAGTGAAATTTGCGTCTGTAGGTTCAAGTCGCAGTTTTAACCTTACGGTATTTTTAATGTCGATTGCTTGTCATTGCGCCTGACTGCGTTCGCTTTTTACATTAGGACCAACAGACTATCACTGTCACAGGGGAACCAGGAGATGCTGGAGCCGAAGGAGAACGGGTTGGGGATAAGTATTTCTCTGCTTTTGTGCACATCTTTTTTCTGCTTGCGAAAAATGATGACTAGTCTACGTTTACCGACGCGGGTGCGAAATTTACGTACACAACAAAGGACGGCATACTCATGTGGCTTAAAGGAGTATTTTCATTTAACTGTAAAATATAAATTTAACTGACAACTGAAGTGCATATGCGATAAATAACTGATATGGTGCCCTGGCCCCCTCCAATCTCTATGGTTGAGTCAAAAAATAAAGGCGTCAGTTGCCAGATTTTCACACAGATTTTTGGTTTGTTCGAAGAAAGGAAATTAAAGAAATAGACTACATTTTATTGCAGTAAAAAAGTATGCTACACTTGTCTTTGTATCAATAAAACCTGTCTATGCGACGATCTGACCATTGCATACCCCTTTAATGTCTATTACAATTAACTGGGTTCGACTGTAGTTTTGAATGAAATGACTCGGAGAAATAACATTTCATGCTATGCGTCCTGTGTGTCAAAAATAAAAAACCGTTACGTTCACACACCTACGCCTATCATCATCGCATTTTTAATATCACTGTATAATCTGCTGCAGGGCCCACCTGGATACACAGGACCCCCAGGAACACAGGGACCGAGAGGATCACGGGTAAGTTATCAAGAAATAAAAATAACCGATCGAAAGCGAGGACTAGGAATTAATGGGTTAGTTAATATGGGAAGCCTGTGCCTTTGAAAAATAGGCACAGTGCTTTGTCACTTATCAGAAGAGTTTCAGTTTCAAAACTTAATTTGTTGAGATTCAACCTGGTATATCTACTGAAAGATTTTTCACCACACTCTTCGCTGGCTTTTCTCACAAGGGTCCCCAAGGCAGCAGGGGTCAGCAGGGTATTACAGGACCTCCTGGTCTCCCAGGCCCGCCAGGACCCCCGGGAACCACGCTGGTAAGTGCAATTCTTTTCTTCTTAATGCTAGGTTAGAAAAAGAAATTGTCCTGCGCAAACTCACTCTGGCAAGTAAAGGGAAGCAGCCGGTCGAAGTGAGTGAAGTTGGTGGAGAAATTTGACGTTTTGACACTGATGCTTTCATCAGAAACGTTATGTCAACGTTGTGCAGGTTGAAAAAGCTTCGCTTCGATGTTCTGTAATGGGATTCTTTTCAAGATTCCATTTACAGATAAGATGCCATAATCCCTTGTAGCGCTAAGGAAGGTGACGTAAGGCGAAGAAGCTTTTATTTCTTTGCCGATCTCTTCATGACTCAATCTGCTCATGTTCCTCTTATTCTTGTAGAGTAAGTTGTCTTCCTCTCAATTGCAACTTAAATTCTAACAGGTGGGAGCTTTTACAGTTAAGGTCTCTCAGCAATCTTATCATCACAGGCAGTTTTCTTCAAAGAAATTATCGTAATCCATTCCCTACTGCCTCTTATAAGAAGCAATCTTCACGACACGAGGTGCCTAAGAATGGTTTTGTGGCTTAATCCGTCGCTAATTGAATTTTTGCAGTACGAGTCGATACCTGGCGAAAAGGGACCTGTCATTCGACCAATCGTTGTGACAACAGCTGCCATAAAAATGAAGGTACTGAATGGTCGGTTTTGTAATCAGCCTCAGTAGGTGATGAGACTGTTCCTCGTTGAACATGAGATCTTAAGGCGACGCGTGACAGTTGGAATGGGGGCTGCGGATAAGTACGTAGAGGGAAAGGGTGGGGTAGAGGGGGCTAGGATGGTTGGAAGACTATAAGGCTACAAGACTATCTTACTGTTTAAATGTCAAGCTGTAGATTAGTATATCGTCATCAACTACTGAATGTTCTATAAAATAAAAACCTCACTCTCACGAAATAAAGAGGAAGATTCCTTGTTGTTGTAACCACACACATTTCTCTTTACTGACTCTGTTAGGTAATTAGAGGAGCTCCTGGAGCCAAAGGACTTCCTGGCTCAAGGGTGAGTGTTGATTGGCTTGTTTTAGTCTCACTGTCAAATCTAACTGAAATAAAAATTCTGATATCTTTGAGAGATTTGCTTCATATTCTCACCAGGGCATGATGGGTATTTCAGGAGAGCCGGGAGGAATTGGTGAAATGGGCGTCAATGTAGGTACCAGTCTTCTTAATTTTGAACATGGAACTTCAAGTTAAACTTCGTTAGTAATATTTACCTATGAGAGAGGAACCCACCAATCGAAAGCTTTTCTTAGCAGTAAGACTATCAATAAAAGATCCTGTAGTTTCCTTGCTTAATTGAAAGCAATATTAATTCTACCACGATAACTTACATTCTTCTATTGTGGCTCCAGAATTTTTCAGAGAAACTTGACGACTAGCTCTAACTTGTTATAATTCATACTTTTTCTCGCATATCTTATACAATATCCAACGTCTTCAGGGCTAGAAAACATTTTCCTTTTTTTCAGGGAGAACGTGGTGATCCTGGTGGACCAGGTCTGCCCGGATTAGATGGAACTCCAGTGAGTCCAACAATGCTCTATGTACTTTCATTTTCAGCAGGTGACAATTCAAAGGTCAATGATAGAATAATAAACATTTTAAACAGTTCAACCTCAATTTTCTACAGGGTGAGAGAGGAAAACCTGGCAAACAAGGGCCTCCTGGTATGAAAGGATATCAAGTGAGTTGGACAGTTTTTTTATTTAATGTTCAGTAGATAATAGGAACCGTTTTCACCGTCGAGAGAAAAACATTAACGCACAAAACTGAAAGAAATAATGTGGTTGTATTGTGCATCTCATTTGCAACTGTCTTGTAAAGCAAACATTTTGTGGAGAATCATCAATCTTAACTATGTAAACTATCTGCTAAACCTTACAGGGTGGTATTGGCGACTCTGGTTATGATGGAGTCCTGGGTCGTGATGGTCACCGCGGAAGGCGTGGTAAACCAGGTCCTAAGGGTTTCCGTGGTGACGACGGAGACGAGGTAAGAATGAAGTCAAGTGAACTGTAGAACGCTGCCTTCTTATTGTGATAAGGCATCTGCCTTGGAGAGAGCCTTAAAAGCGATAATCCGTGAAACTGGAGCCAGATCGGAAATCTGCGGACACGCAGGTTAACCGATTTGGCTCAAATTTTGCATGTAAACTTGAATAGGGGTTCTAATCACGAAATGGATATTTTCAGACCCTTGCCCGACATTTACGGACTATCGCTCTTAAGATAAGTCAAACTCCTGAGAAGGAAAATTAGGTGATTCACAGTGACGAAGAGGTAAGAGTTCAGAGTTTGCTTGTTGCAGCATACGCACCCAGTAATTCACTAAAAGCCAGACAGATCAAATTTAAATCAACGTGGATTTATTTTAAGGGTTAATTTGTCGCTTAAATTGGAGAATACAAGAGAAAAAAAAAAAACCCCTTCAGTTTATTTGTGTTCTGATGTTCCTTTTAACAGTGACGTCTGCCTTCTAATCAGGGGTCCGTAGGACCGGATGGGACTCAAGGACTTGACGGTGAACAGGTAAGGAGACTGAATTATCTCATCTATTACAATAAAATAAGGTTGTTACTTTTGCAGTTTCTGCTCCCCAACATCTGAGACAAGCTAACACCGGAGATTTAAAGAAGGTCAAGACCCACTATTTTCCCTTGGAGTCGCACATGATAATAAAAACGTTTGTGGTTTTATAAATATATATATATATATATATATATATATATATATAGGAAGTCTGCAAGTCGATTTTTGCGTAGAACAGTGCTCAATACGTTGAAGCAAAGCAGAATAAATATTATGTATTATATATATATGTATATATATATATATATATATATATATATATATATATATATATATAATATATATATATATATATATATATATATATATATATATATATATATATATATATATTTTTACATTTCGTAAGGGTAGTCCATTGTCTCTTTCAGGGAGATCCTGGGCCCCATGGAAGGCAAGGAACTGTGGGATATCCTGGTGACCTTGTAAGTCACGTCTCACAAGAAACGGTCTCAAACTTCCGATATCTTCGACCAGTTGTTTCAATGTGCGATAACTGTTTGCACTGAACATTTCCTTAGGACTTAATAACTGGTTTAGGTTAACGCTTGTGACGTCCTCCAAAAACCTATGCATAATGTTACCTGACTTTGGAAAAACAGAATGCTTTTATTAACAAGCATGGGAAACGTAATTAAATGTGGAGCATGCACGGATTCAGGTCTGTAAACAATAAACATCGGATTTTTGCTTTTACCGTGGGATTTTTTGTTTTAGGGAAGTCAAGGTAAAGCAGGAGCTGAAGGAGACATCGGGCTTGAAGTAAGCAAAGAGAGATGTCTCTTTATCAAAAAAAAAAATTATAACTTAAGCTTCAAATATTTATGTTACGGTTGGCGACTTTTCTCTTGTTAAATCGTTTCAAATGTCTCCCCTATCATTCTGCCAGGGATCTAAAGGAGTAGCAGGGCCTCCTGGTCTCCCAGGCCCCCCTGGGGAGGTAGGGTCAACGGGACAAGCGGGTGAAAAGGGACCCCTGGGATATCAGGGGGAGAGAGGCTCCAGGGGCTCTACAGGAACTCAGGGGCCCCCTGGAAACAGTGGGGATGACGGCATCCAAGGTGGTCCAGGCTTCAAAGGAAGACAGGCAAGTGATGGCTTTGTTGTGTCCTAGTGATACTCGTGGCAATAAGCTATCATTATCAATAATTTAGATGAAGTGTTAAATTATAGAGACTCAAAAGAAGATAAATATATGTTATTTGCCGGCTAAGGGTCGGTCCGTATGGTGAAAAACTGTGACCGAGGTCTTGAAAATATTGCCCGAGGCCGTAGAGCAGCATTTTCAAGACCGAGTCAAGTAAACTGGGTACTGGCAATAGAGGTGATGCAAATTCAAGAGAGATGCCTCAGCGAAACATTTTCGTTTCCGTAAAGATAATTTAAAAGGCTTCCAAACAAACTTTGAAACATTATTTTTACAAGTATCTGTCACAATCTGACACCTGTCAATTAGAGAGCGCGCGAGTAAAAAAAGCGTAAGAACATTTGAAAAACAACGGAACTAGTTTGGCAAGGACTGTCACGACAATGTTTTCTTCAAAAACAGTCAATGATCTGACGGAAAGTATTATTCACTCTCATCGACGATTCATTCATGTACGAAGATTTACCTCTGTTCATTAAGTAAACGGCAATGAAAGTAATTGTGAGTAAATTCAATTTTTTTTATTTTGAAGTTGTGAGAGTTTGCTCGTTTGTTTGCTGCAATGGCTTGTGTAAATCTGGTCTTTCCTTCACAAAAACTAAATTCGAATGGCACACTCCAACGAGACACAAGGGGATTTAATGCGGCCTTTTCTCAAAAAATTCCTTCAGTTTCTGTTGTGCAATTTACGGTACAAATGTTCAAATTGAACGGACCTGGAAAAACTCACCGAGAGCGTATATTTCTTGTAGAACTTAAATTAAAACTTCGCTCGCTCTTTCACTGCGAACAAATTGCTTGAGAAAATTCAGGTATTAAATGAATGAAAGTTCCATCGTTCAGTTTTCAGTTGTGAACGATTAAAATTAATTGCAGACGGGTTTTAGGCCGCTTGTCAACCAACGTAATGACACTATTGTTTAGACAAATTAATTCTGAAACCAATATTTTTCTGTCAACCAAAGCGATCTGAGTGAGAGAAAAGAGAAGATTCATAAGTTATTCATCGGCTTGAGGTGGTGACCGACGTGTTTGCTTGAAAATACTGCCCAGCCGACCCACTCACGAAAGCGTTACCGTGGCCCGTGGGCAGAGATAGGAAAACAATGACCGGGTAAAGAACCAATCAGATTGCAAGATTCGTTACCGTGCCCTCTCAAAAAAAAATAAGTGTAGTTATCTAACTACTAAAAGATATAACAATTATAAAAACTTCTTAAATTATGTACTTAAAAGAATGTTTCCCAAAAGGCCAACAGGAACCCGTTATCTAACTCTTTTTTTGTAGGGTGAAGTTGGTATCAATGGACTCGAAGGCAGTCAAGGTCCTTCTGGAGAAAGGGTAATTCGATACCTTGATACTTCTAAAACAAAGCTTGGATCGTATCTTAAAAGTTGCTTTAAGTGATCCTTTTTTCTCAGAAACTAAGATTATTTTTAACCACTCTTGTATGCTGATTTTGAAATAGGGAATTCCTGGAGATGCAGGGCCAACTGGAGGAGACGGTCCACCGGTATGATTTGTTTATTGGCTCCAATGGAGCAACATTCTTTGTAGCTGATTGGCTGTTTGTGTCGTGTCAAATGTTTAGTATCTTATTCGTGTGTCTTTTTAAACTTTAATACCTTTTTACCAATGAATATAACTTGTCGTTTGAGGGAATTCATTCAATTTGACAATGTATTTGCGCTTTAATATTTTAGGTTGAGGGGGTGGAAGACGGACAGTAAGATAAGGATAACGTTTCATAAAATACATAATACGCTCTGTTGCAGCTTTACCTTAACAAAATAAGCACAAGCCAAACAAAAGAAGCCACGTTATACGGTGTTTAAAATGAAATAACATCACAAGTACGCATAGGTAGCTTTGAAGTAAGTGCACGGTGAGTAAGAGACATCAGACTAACTTGATGTTATGCACTTTGAAGGGTAACTACGGAGAACCTGGAGCGCGCGGAGGACCTGGGGATAAAGGAACAACGGTAGGGCCTTTTGATCATCTTTACTTTTATTTACAACATAGCCCTCGAGTAAATATCCGTGGCACCTAGGAAAGACTAATTTAACGAAGCTTTTTTTGTGGCTATTGCCTCCTATAGGAGGCGAACCACATATGTCGTCGAAAGAGTGGGTGAGTGTAACAATAGCATTCCCGCCGATCTTGACCCAATCTTGGTCATAGAGCGCTAATTCACTTGCCAATTTGTCACCAGACAATTTTTTCTCGAATAGTTCAAAAGCCAATCACGTTCAAAGCTGTACTTTAAATCAACCAATCACAACCTTGGTTTCGATCACCATAGAAACAGTGTACTGACTCTTAATTGGGGCTTTCTTCAAAATGGGGAATTTCAAAGCGACATTAAACAACTTACGCTTCCTTTATCATTCTTTAAATTATAAATTGCATGATTAGTTAGTAATAAAACTTCGAGCGTTCGCCCTTCGCCAATCGCTCTGACGAAGGGCTAATGCTCGAAACGTCAGCTTTCAAACTCTTTGCGGTGACCAACTTACGTTATCAACTCAGTTGGTTATACTAAATCACCCTGTTATGCCGAAAATAGTCGCTAAATTTGCCAAGCGAGCAAGCTGCAAAATACGATACCTTGAGCTAATTAAAAGAATAATAAAACGGAGGAACGGTGGATAGGCGGAATAGCAGAATATCTTAAGACGCGGAATGATGGAATATTCTAAAACATGGAATGCCTTTTTGTATGAAGTAAAAGTCTCAAAAAATTCAATTTCAATTACATAAGAAAATGACATAATTAACGGGCGAAATTAAAAGAAGAACCCTAACTCTAATCATTGTTGAGGCTCAGAGCGGGATAGGGGAGCATAAGACTTTCGATCTAACCTCTTTAAATAGTTTTTATAGAACTATTCTTATCATTATTACTATTGTTAATATTATTATTCGTTACCATTTAATTATCGGTTAAATGTCAATTAGACAATATATTCTTGAATAATTTTTTGTGGAACAGGGCACTCTTTGATATGTGGGTTGCAGCAAGTTTTCTGTTTTGCATGTGAGACAAATCTAATTCTGCAGCATTACCTTGTGGCACCATTATACAACCTCTGTTTCTATTCAATACTATACCAGTAGCCACATGCAGTCTTTGACGGTCTGTTTTCCTCTTTAGCTGGTCCCGTCTGAAAATTCTCACCGTAAAGTTTGGCATGATTAGACCACCATTCTTTAAATGAACCGCAGGAAAATTGTTGTCAAAGAGAAATCTGTAGAACATGTTTTAAACAATATAATAATGTAACAAATAATTACAGTGAAGATATCAGAATCAATTAAATAACCCTCTTTATTGGGTTTTCGCCATTTAACTTACATAAAACTAGTCAAGAAAAGGAATAAACTACAGTCGAACCAATATTAAACAGCACCGTTTTAAGTGGTCACCCTGTGTTAAGTTTTCTAAGTCCCGAAATTTTGCTTCTTAATCACAATCATTTTCATCTCTATTCAGCGGTTGTGGTAACTCCTGACTGACTTCTAGCGGCCTGTTTGTATTGTCCTCCACCTGTACTGAACGGTCTCTTAGAACGGAACCACTTAAATAATAATAATCTCTCAAGTAAAATTTAATCCATGTTCATCTCCCGAAATCAAAGTTAGTAGTACTTTGGGCGGGTTTTTGTACACTAAGTGATCCATTATGGAATAGAATGGCGTTTTCATCCTTTTGTTTATTACCCCCATTCTATGGAACCTATAAAAAGTTGTCACTGCGTCATTATCCATCCCTACAGCTTCGAATGTGGTCCTATCAGGGTAAGCAATCGGGATAAACTTGACAAAATTGAAAGGAACGCAAATAAATACGACTACAAAACATCAGTAATTACTTAATCCAGGTCAAACTATGCCGATCAATGTGCATGTTGAACTTACATTTGGCAACTTCAGAAATTTACCTTGTCCAGTTCTATAGCATTAACTACCACTTACTTTGTCTTTTTAGGGTCGGCACGGAGCTCCTGGGAGTCTTGGTGTTCCAGGAGGACGTGGACTTAAGGTAAGGGGTAGAGAACGACAAAGGCTCCATGAAAAGCTTGAGATTCACAGTCATGCTGATTGAAGACGTTTGTACTTCCTTCGTTTTTCTCTCACTGTAGGGAAAACAAGGTCATCCAGGACCACAGGGTCAGTCTGGTCGTGAAGGAGATCAAGTGAGTGAGTCTGAAATGTGATGTGTTGTTACTACAGTTAATGACCAGCAAGGATAAATAAAGTCCCCCCCTTTCAAGATTAGCCCAAAGTGATCTTCTCACGATTAAAAGTCAAAGGCAGAACTAAAAGAAGAGGACATCAGAAGCTTTCCATTGAGATCATGTCAATGTCATCGTAAGGACTTACTTAGGTATTTTTTTAAATCAAGCAACTCACCATTTCTACTTACCTAGGGCTTTAACTGTGGCCCGTGCTACGTAATCATCAGACCCCGGTTGTTCAAAGGTTGGATAACGTTATCCACTGGATAAGACTCTATCCGTTGGATAGCGCTATACGTTTTGCTATCACTTATTCGCCGGATAGCGTTATCCGTTATATTGGATAGCGTTATTCGCCATTTATACAACTGGGCCCTGGATGAGAGCAGCCCTTAAAAGGACTATTGTCGGTTTCAGTGACGTTCCGACAACGTCAGGGGAAGTGAAGTGAGATTTTTGTTTGAAAAACTACAAAAACTTAGTGTTACTAACATGCGGAAATTGAGTGGTTTTGCGTGATCTGTACTCTTATCGACAACCATATTCATCATCACGGTGGTCAAAATGTTGCGAACTTATGAAGCGCAACCGAGTGAGCCCACAAAATTTTGACCACATTTCGTTCAAATTTTGACCACTGTGATGACAGTATCGTCGATAAGAAGAAAGACCACGCTAAACCACGTTCTATTTGTTTTTTATCGGAATATCGACGTCAATTAATTCTTTCAGTGCGTGTGATCCATGTTTGAAAGCTGATAGAGGCATTGTGTGACACGTTGATGCGAGCAGCATTGTCTGTACTCTTATCGACAACGGCAAATTGGCCAATCGGATTGCGACATTACTGCCAATTGAAGTTAAATATATGTTATTTTGAGAAAAAGCATCATGCACATCGTTACTATTCAAACGATCTATCGAAATTCTACTTGTGCTGCAATCTATTTTTGTTGTGTTGACAGGGAATATCTGGTGGCCTAGGCCTGAATGGAAGAGAAGGATCAACTGGTGCTATGGTATCATATCGCTATCTTGTCTTTCAGTGTAAATGCTTCACCATTTTTAAGTTGTTTTTCCGTTATTATGGTTAACTAGATATCGCAGAAAAGCATTCTGATTAACGTCCACACACATCAGTCGTGGCACAATAACTATACTATGGCTTAATAGGATTTCATCACTATCAGTGTTGTTCTTGGTAAATTTGACAAACTCTAAAATGGTGAAATTACCGAATTATCATACATTTGTCTGGACATAACGATTTTGCTCTTTTTACTTTGTAACATTAGGACATGCTGTTAAAAGTTAATTTTTTTTAAATTCTAGGGCTCCATGGGTCACCGAGGAAACAGAGGAGAGCGCGGCAGTAAGGGAACCAAAGTAACCAACATGTTTACAGTTATTATAATTAAACATTGCCGGGATAGATAACTATCATTACTATCAATAACTTAAAGGTGCTGTTCCTTTTGTGGTCAATTCCTATTTATATTAAAAAATAGTCATTGATAGGTGTGAGTATCTTATAATAAATGGTTGTTATTGTGGTGTGATGGTGCGGGTCACCTATTGTCAACAAGCGAACATACGTAAGGAAGCTAAGCATTCAATTTGGGAAACTACAAAATTCCCCTTTAAAGAAAGACAAACGGCCTTATCAGTCAAAATTCACATCCTGTTTATTATTCTTTCCCTCCCTTGATAGGGTGGAGGAGGAAGAGCAGGGCCTCCAGGATCACCCGGTCTTGTTGTAAGAAATCATCTTGTTGAATGACGAGGAACTATGTCAAAGTGTTGAGCATTCCTTCTGGTTACTTTTATTGATGATTTTCATTCATTTTGATTTGAACTCGTGCTCCTGACGATGAAGACTGATCTTTTGATTAAAATAATAATAACCAGGAAAACAAAACAGAACAAAAGAAAAGGAAAGGAAAAGATTGCATGGGAGAGAACATTTAAGATATAAACGGTTCATAGTTATCATACCTTACAGTACAGCTCCACACTTTTTCAAAGATATCTAAAGGCAAAACCTGGAAATGTAGATGTATATACTAGGAATCATTGTTGTACAAGTGTTCTATCGGTAAAGCGAAACCGGTGATAAAGCGAAACAGAAGTTCTCTCTGAGAGCCACTAAGTTATACGCAAGAATCTTTTACGAAATAAAAATTTTCCTGCTTGAATCCAGGGTCTCCGCGGGTGGCGTGGTCAGCTGGGAGGAGTAGGGAAGCCTGGAATCCCTGTAAGTTGAAGGACTTGAATAATACATGGCGTGCGTATATAGTTCATCTTCGAGTGTTCAACCCGATAGCTCACGGGTGAGCGCAACGAGCGAGTAAGATAACCAGTTAAACAGGAGAAGAGAAATTCCATATCTACAAGCAACCTGAATTGTTTTGTTTATTACATGAACAAAATAACCCTTAAAGACGAAAAGAGTCCGCTCTATTAATGAATAAAAAAGTGAGATCCACCCTCGAAGAAAAAATTATAAAGTTCGTTTCTCGATAAGGCTCAAGATGAAAAAATGTGTTAAATCATTACAAAAACAAACAATTGCCGTAACTTCCAATTTACAAAAATTCGACAGGGGTCGACTTTTTCCTTTCTGACAGAAGAAATATTTTTAGGTAAACGGCCAAAATCGGCTGTGGCAAATCTTCCAGTTGTCGATTTTCGTTCTCAGCCGCGAGAAATGCTATTACGAAAGGCACTTAGTACGTAACTTTTGGTTTTTCTTTTTGTATTTTGGTTTTGTTTTCCGCCTGGGAAATTTTGAACGTCACTGCCTGTAAGCAATATGAATTTTCAGTGTTTTGACAACCATAATCTGAGAAGAATTTGACAATCGACGCTGCATAGCGATATCAAACACACATAAAAAACTATCGCATTATTGCGGCTTTTCTGAAGGCTGGAAATCCATGTAAAACACCGCAGTTTATATGATAAACGATACTAATAACGCGGGTAGAAGGTAAGTCCTGTTCAGGGTTCTAATGGTCACACATTTCACGGTTACAAGGAAAATTCCCGGATAATGGCTATGATGATGATTTCGATGGAAATCAGTACGAAATAGTCACAAACCTGATTTTGTGGCATTTTAACTTAAGGTTTAAGACTCCATGCAGTTACAATTTAAAATAAACATGATTATTTCTTTATCTTTTCCATTTGCTCGTAGGGAGAACTTGGAGACAATGGCCGGCCTGGTAGACAAGGGAAGGGTGTAAGTTGACCCTCAGATTGCAAGTTGAAGCCCGATAAAAAACATCTTAGCTTGTAGATTTGTATCTTAATATGAACATGGTTTATACAAATTATGCAATTTTAGGGTTTGGCTGGTGTGGCAGGACTGATGGGATCAACAGGAAAGAAAGGACAACGGGTAAGATGACCCACCGGATTCAAGAAATTTCTTTTATCTTTTTAGTCTCTCTGGCCGTCCTGGCAAGAAAGAGAGTGATGCGTAGCCAAGGTTATTTGAAGTGCTGAAAACCATAGCCATGAATAAACATATCAAGAGTTTGCAGTCTAACAACATTATTTGCATTTGTTGAGCAATCGATCGATCAGAGTCAATGCCCCATTAACGTCAGTTATGGCTAAGGTATTCATTTAAATTTGATTTTAGGGTCCTCAAGGAAAACCTGGAACACCTGGTTTGACCGGTAAAAGTGGCCCTAAGGTAATAAGCAGAACTGAGGGTACAGTAAGGAAAACTGAAAAGATGTTGAGGAAATATGTAGAGCAGCTGATCCTTCTTTATTAAAAATAATCAGAATACTTATTCGTAGCATCTCTTTCTAGGGAAACAGGGGTGCAGCTGGGGAGCCAGGCAAAGTGGGAGCCACAGGACAATTGGTGAGCCCTGTTAAGTTCACCGATAGATTATCATTCATAATATTTATCCTCTTATACATAGAAATAAGAGATAGCAAAGGGATTCTATTTTCTAACAATGCGAGGTGTTGGCAGAGATGCATCTACACACCAAATCAGAACCTTATTTGAGAAGGCCTTTTAATAATGTTATCCTTGCTTCTTTTTTGCAGACACTTGTATCTTAGGCTTTTTGAGAAAAAAAGCCAAAAGCAGTCGCTAGAAAAATTAAATAACAGTATCAATATGCCTCATTTTCAGGGTCGCGCGGGACCTGGTGGTGAAACAGGAGAACAAGGGCTTCCCGGTGACATGGTAAGGAACTGTATTTGATTGTAAATATCATGTAGTGAATTACTGCTATTGTGATTCATGAGTGGGTGCTACCATCTCATAAAAAACCCAACTGGACAAACGTACACAACCAAGTATTACCATTATTGTTATTACTATCATAAACATAATTCTTATCATTTTATAATTATTATCATCAATATAGTTATGTTGTTGTTATTATTATCATCATTTTCATTGACACAAAAATTACATCAAATCTGTTTTCTTTTACTGCCTACTCTTAATAAAGGGTGAAACAGGCTCTGAGGGTGTCCAAGGAGAAAAGGGCGAGCAGGGCAGAATGGTATAAGATGATCTTCTCTTTCTGTATTAGGGTTTTTATGTCATGCTTATCTACACCAGTATTAATCTCTTACTAACCAAATACAAGAGCCATACTGGGGAAGGTCATCCGGAGGTTGTGGTAGTACAGATCGAATGCAGCAAGGTACATTAAAGAACAACTGAGGGCCAATATTCCCCAGTATGGCTCGAGAAAGTGAGGTTAGTAAGTAGTTAAGAGCATAGCACATGGAAGGCAAAATTCCAACCAAGTAAAAACCAATCAGAACTTTGGTATTTTCCTCAGAACTACCTTGCCTTATAAAAGATTAGATTACTTCTCTTTTACCAGGGTTTGAAAGGTGATCGAGGAGAAAATGGTTTCCCAGGAAGAGAGGTAATAGCTTTACTGAAAAATGCGAATACAAAATGGTTTTCGTCTAAAGTCAGTAACAACTTTGTTGGAAGAAAAAGCAACAATAATAAATATTTCAAAGCTGGATGTTTCAAGCTTTAGCCCTTCGTGAGAGTCCTTAGCCTTTCATGCTGACACTCAAAACGTCCAGCTTAGAAACTCATTATAATAGCCAATTTAAATTATCAACTGAGTTAATAAAACCAAATTTATCTTATTATACTCCCCCACCGACGCAGCACCACGGTTTCTTTTGAAATTTAGCCTCTTTATTCAATAATAAACATTATCACATAGAACAACTCCTAAATGAGTAATTCAAGCTAGAATACTACGGCACTTAAAAAAAAACAAATAAACAAACAGAAACAAAGCTCCGATGGGTTAAATGTTGACAAAACTAATTGGAATAACTTGGCCCTTGGTGAGTGCATGCATGCTCTAGAGTGAATTCGAGCACATCTGCTAGCCTTGTGATGTTATAGAAAACATTAATAAATAATCGGAGAAAAAACAGCTCCTTGTCTTAAGAATGAAAAACACCACCTTTAAATGTAGCCAGTGTAGTGTGAAGAAGGCTTAATTTAATTTCCTGGTAGGGAGATGCCGGTATTTCTGGGATGGAAGGAGAAACAGGAGACATGGTAAGCTAAACCAATTTTTATTGCTATAAATTAGTTAAGAACTAACTGTTCTGTTTCTTGCATAAACTGTGTGTGGTGACACTTTGTTTTCTATTAGTCCATGTGGTTCATCGTGGGCTCGTACCATTTCTTTGTCTTAACTGGCATTGTATCACCCCCAAATCAACAAGGAAAACAGTAAAATTGATCACTACCTTTACTTTTTGTTTTCTCTTTCTTGATACATTTAAATGAAAATTCGAAAAATTCTACTGATGCATTAATTAAGATAGCCAATATCATGAGATTTCCTAAAAATAACATGTCTATGGTCTACTGGAAAATTTGTATCATTATTTGCAATTTTCAGGGCAGTGTTGGACCACAAGGCATTCAAGGAAATATTGGCAGACCGGGAAATATGGTCAGAAAACAAACATTATCAGTCAAACTAAAACATAATAAACTTAATTTAAACCGCCTCCCGGTTAGCTCAATTGGGAGGGCTGGACTGTCTATGACTGTCGTTAAATAACTTTATAATGAGTACCTGTACTCAACATTCAAGATCCTCTAAGAGCTCGTTGGCCAAAGGCCTTCTTTTATTTCGGGTCAGCGACCCTTGGCGACAACCAGAGTGGAACGAGGCCGAAATGATGAAGGCGACTAAAATTTAAAGATCGAAAAAACACGAGGTTTTGGACAGACTGAGAATAATATAATATACCTTCTATTCCGATATAATACTTAAAAAAATTTTGAAACTAATACCTTCCAATCACAGCGGTCAACAACTAGTTCGAACCAGAGCCCTGCAGTGCAGGAAAATGTGCTACCTTTCTATAATGTCAAAAAATGGATAGACATTTTAGTCTTCTCGGATAAGAACGAATAAACCGTAGGTCCCGTCTCCTGCTTCTATTAATTAGTCAATTTGGTTAGGCAGGGGACGTTAAAGAACCCACTAACGAGATTACTGTGATGTGGCCTGGCCTGTTTATTGGGAATTGGCCTTGTCATTGTTAACGCGGGATCCACTGTAATTGGCCATAGCTGTAGTGGTCTCCCTGCCTGAGATGATTAGGCGAAGCTAAATAAATAAATAAAAACTGGGAAATTTCAAATTAAAGATACAATAAATACTGCTTATCAAAGATATTTGATGTTAAGGCTTTTTCCCTAAAAATTAGAATGATTTTGATAAAATGTCCTTGCAGGGATTGCCTGGACCCATTGGAACAACAGGACAGGATGGAAGCCTTGGTCCACGGGTAAGAGATGAAGTAAACTTTTCACACAAACTTGAATCTGTGCTTGGAAATAAATCTTTGTATGGGTGTCACTTGTAGGGTGCAGTGGGAGCGACAGGTGCTGTGGGAGAGCCCGGAGTCAAAGGGGAAATGGTAATTATCTCACCTATTTTGACAAAAATATTCCATTTTACCATTTGTCTTTCAGATATAGATTAAAGATTATATCAGAAGAGGTTAAGAACTTAAGAACTTAAGAATTAAAAAGTGTCACATGAGTTGCAGTACAGTCCCCAGTTGTATTTTATTTTTTAAGGGGTCACTTGTAAAATCTAGAAAAATCTCGCACACATTCTAAAATTGCTGACCCTGATGAACGAACCCAAAAAAACAGTACAATAGATTTCAAGTTCAGAGTCTTTGTTGTTCTCACTCCAGGGACATGCAGGTTTGAATGGCCGACCCGGCCAATCAGGATCGATGGGACAAAAGGTCAGCACTAGCTTTGATTGTTTATCATCTGGTCATCACTGATACGAAGATGAGGCTAAATATTATGATTTATGGGAAACCATTAGAAGCAAAGGAACTAAGATACTTTTCAACAATTCATACTTGTATGAGGGGGTTCACAATAATTTTGAACATGAAATTCAAAGAAAATAATTGATATCAAGACCTACATAGGTGGCTGATAGATATTGTGCATTTGTACCACAACTTACCAAGAGTTGCGTTCAGATAGATTTTCTCTGTCTGATTAATCTTTTTTTTTATGCTATCACGTCAATTATTAATTCTAGGGGGCGAGTGGAGAAAATGGAAAGCAAGGAGAACGTGGTCCAGAAGGAAACAGGGTAAAATACATATCATTACTTAGCATTTGGTATGAAAGTTATGAAGTTTAGGGTAAAAAAAGGTAGGGATACGCCAAAATAGAGTAATCTGTTCTTAAAGGACCGTTTCAATGATGTCACACTGGGACCCCTTAAATAAAATAAGACAAAAAATGCAATTACATCCAACCAATGCCCTTGTAGCCTGTGATATTGCTCAGTACAGGTTGACTCTTAATACAGGTTCCACAGATTAGAGGTATTCTAAAACACAATAAACAACGCCACTTAATGCCATAATTGGCCATATAATGTGCAGAATCTTGCTTGAAAATGTTACTTCGATCTTGGGAGAGAAACATGGATTAAAATTATTTGAAAGATTATTCTTAGTTTTATTTGAGTGATTCAGCTTTAGGTGACCACTCAGTACAGGTGGGGGACAATAGAAACAGGCAGTTGGGACTTAATAAAGGGTGACCGCGACCGCTTAATAGCGGTGACTGCTTAGTAGAGGTAAAAAAATTAACGTGATAGTGGAGAAACAAATTCAGGAGTTACCAACTGTCCGCTTAATGCAAGGTGACTGCTTGACACAGTATTGACTGCGTAGTTACTGAAGCTTTAGAAACTTTATCTGAGAATTTTATTTAGAAAATAGTCAAATTATAAAACTTCCAACCATACTTGGGTATAGCAGTACATTATGATACACTTTTGTGATTTCAGGGAACTCCAGGCAACAATGGTTTGCCTGGACTTCATGCTGCTCAGGGAGACACGGTAAGAGAAGTTTTTCAACATCAGTTTAGAGCTTTACACCTTAACATTATCATGCATTAGATTTTTGGTTCTTTTACGTAGCGGATAGACTTGAGAAACTGAACACCTTGATCTATTTTGTCTGAAAACAAAACATAATATCTGTGTGTATTTGTCTTCTCCTGCAAAACAATACATCCCTTTTGGCTCCTCACATGTCTCAAGCACCTGCGTAAAAATCCATACTCTGAATATGATTGTTCTTCTCTGTCATATTAACAAGTGTGACAGCATACCATAATATCCTTTGACTCATAGGGCGAGAAAGGAGTGGCTGGTATTAAGGGTCTCATGGGATATAGAGGTCAAACGGTGAATATGCTGTTAAATTTCTACCTTAGTCTTCAGCTTGGCTGGTTATAATCTTTACATGTTTATAACAATCATATAAACAGGTTTATTTTTCACTGATCTCAGTCCCAATCCTGTTTTAAAATCCAGGCCATCATATTGGAGCGATAGTGCAATTGTTGTTTGTTCCTTACTCAGGGTCCTGTTGGAGAGATGGGTCTTCAAGGGCCAACGGGTCTAAAAGGAGCTAAGGTACAAAATAAAATGATACTTTCATTTCTATTTTTATGAATATTCAATTACCATACTCTAAAAAAGTTAATATCTGAATGGGGCATTAATTCTACTGATGAAATTTTTTAAAAATGGGTAAAGAGGCGCAGGAAGAGAAGTAGTGTTTGGTTCAAGTACATGTAAAGAGGTGAAGATTTCCAATTTCCTGGTGGGATGCTCTACCTACTCAACTACGATGAACTAGTTTGTGAGTTAGTAGATGCCTGTTTTTAAACCTAGAAAAGTACTTAGTTCATATTTGTGGGAGGAATAAAGAAAGCACCTAATCCCTGTCTCGTTTTTGCTTGCCCATCTTTTTTCCCATTTCCACTGACCTTGGGCCTTGCACTATGCCAGTCCTGTGTGGAGAATTGGTGCATAACATGACACATTTTGAGTTCAGATACTAAGTGAAGAAAAACATTTCACACATGCTTAAGACTAAGAAAAACTATTTGGCACTATTTTACAACCTCAGGGTCCAAACGGAGATGAGGGAATGACTGGAGAAAGGGGAGAAGAAGGAGAACTGGTAATATAACCATCATGTTGTCTGACTTGTTCAGTGTGCATATGACTGCATAATTGGAACTGAAGGACAGAGACCAGTTCTGTGACTATGATGAATGGTGGTTTTAATCACCTCCATATACTTTTTTGTCAGGGAATTGCAGGTTCTGTGGGTGCAAAGGGAGAAGCTGGTGATAGAGGAGAACAGGTCAGTAATATTTACTCAACCCACCCAAAAGAATAAAAAATCATTGATTCGCTTCTGTTGAACTCTCTTTTGGAATGCAACTGAAGGTAGAGGAGATCTGAGTTACATTGAAGAAGGAAAACATTATGACAGGTAGACTAAGATATTTATTGTATTACAGTGTCCCTGTATGTGATATGTTCTTTTTGATACTACTCAGGGTTTGGAGGGAGCTCCTGGAGACTTGGGAAATAAAGGAGACCCTGGAATACCGGTACAGTTGAAGGGTGGGGTGGGGTGAGGACATTCACGTGTAATTTGCTTGAAACGAGATGCATTCTGAAAGGTCAAGGTGGCCAAAAACCGTATTACTCTTTGGATTGATGTTTGCTAGATTACAAGTCAAATTATGATTTGTGGTAAGCTTCCCTTAAAAAAAAAGATGTTTTCACATACTAGGGAGAAGCTGGATCTGAGGGATCTCTTGGTGAACGAGGACAAAATGGCATTAAGGTAGAGTATATACTGACATGCTAAAGCTGAGTTGATAACCGCTTCTAGAATTTTCATAGGGCATCTGATTAAACGATTAACTTGATGTGTTTTTAATACATTCGACAGGGACTCAACGGTGATTTTGGACCTAAAGGTTCTCGAGGCTCAACAGGATTTCCAGTCAGTTCAACTTCGTTTTTTATTCATCTTTTAAGAATTCAAAGTCTCTAAGGATTTATTGTGGAAGTCCCTCCACAGACAAAGCATGTATAACGTATTAAGCGAGATCTAAGCTATTACATAAACTCTGTTTCATTGCAGGGCTCCACTGGCTTAACTGGAAACCCTGGTGAGCCAGGACAAACTGGGGCTCAGGTAGAGAAGTACATTCGTATATCACAGCTTCAAACCCGCATGTGTCTTTTGATTGCATAATATGTAAATACCCTGTTAACCTCGACAGGGCCCTGTAGGACCACCAGGCGTAAATGGACCTTCTGGCAGCAAAGGACCAATCGTGAGTAGTACCCCATGTTTTGTACCTTCTGGAAACACTTTTTTGATCGTGCAATCCATAACAAAAGTACAGCATCAATCTGATATACTTCTTATTTTGTACGAGTGGAACTTATAACCTCAAAGAATCGAAGTGCAACTTACCTTGATGTTCAGTGCGCCCAGTTGTTACTGACAGCTATACTATATGAATTGGTATATTTGCAGGGACTAGTTGGTAAACGTGGAGCCACAGGACAAATTGGCGGAGAAGGACCAAAGGTACAAAATGTATTCGTAGTTTTAACTTTCCCATGAAATAATAACGATAAATTGGTAAGAAAAAAGAAAAGAAAAAAAACATCGTGTCCAAACTCTGTTAATAAGTACTGTTATTACTCCACAATTATAAAATAAAAGCGTTAAGAAAAAATATCCAAACCTTGGAGTGCATTCACTTAGCTCAAGCACAATTACCCTTGTCATTATTAGAACAACTGCGTCTTCATTCATTTGATCTTTCATTTATTATTCTTATTCTTTCAAAGGGAGAAAGAGGAGAACCAGGTAGTGATGGTGAAGACGGCACAACAGGGAGAGAGGTTTGAACGAAGAGAACTACATTCATCTACTTTTACCTACATTCATTTGCCGTTTCGTTCATCGAATACTGATACCGCTTCTTTTACTTCGTTAGGGTAGCATTGGACTTCCCGGAAAGAATGGGAACCGAGGAGAAAAGGCAGATGAAGTACGACATAGATAACTCGCGAACTATGACTGACTTAATAACTGATGTAACTGTCAAACAATGTTTCTCACCACACAATTTCCTTTCTGTTTCTAGGGTCCCCGAGGTTTAATGGGGAAAATTGGACTGGCTGGAAAACCAGGTGAAAAGGTAACAATGGTTTCCAATGGTTAACTGCTTCCTCGTCGGTATTTTTTTCACTACTCAGTTATTTTGAACTTTTTCAATAAGTTTCATTAATCAGTTATTATCTTGATTATGTCAGGGTCTTCCTGGGGCATCTGGTTCAACAGGTGCCTCCGGTCTGCAAGGAGTTAAAGGAATGCAGGGAGCTCGAGGAGATCAAGGGGCCACAGGACATTTTGGGGAAGATGTGAGTTGCATATTGTTTTTGGGAAGACGTGAAATGCAAATTCTTTAGGGGAAAGATGGAAGTTTAAAAGTTCTTTTTTTTTAATAAGATATGAAATTCAAATTCTGTGGAAAATGTGAATTAAAATTCCTTTTAGGGATCACTTGAGGGAAACATGTTTCAAGTTTTTAGTGAAAAACTCTGGGCCACGGAGTCAGTTTCAGTTCCACTGATTCTATTGCCAACTGGGGGACTTACAGATACATCGTACCTTAAGAGGAAAAAGTGTCTTTCCTGATTTCGTTGACGGTGTGTTCCGTTTAACGAGTCGGTATTTAATATGACGACTTTTCCGATGTTTTTATCAGGGTCGTCACGGAGTCACCGGTTATCCAGGCTTACCTGGGAAACAAGGGGTCAAGGTAAGTATTTTAATTCAGAAATAGCCTGCGATCCAGGCTTCTTATAATTGTGCATTAACGTTACAAGCTTGCGATTGTTGATCCAAACGGCCATTTTCACTCACTCCCTTGGTTGCCGTATAGTCAAACATAGGAGTTATAATTTTTACCGAGGGAATAGTAAGCATTTGGTCACCAAATTTACGCCTGCTCTGCAGGCAATACTGGACATAAAGTCATCTTTGATTTCTGATTAAGTTGGAATCAGATGCGGATGTCAAGACATAACTGACCTCTCATTGTGCCTTTCCCAGGGCGACTCTGGCGAGTTAGGAGATGATGGCACTAGAGGAAGAGCAGGGGAAAAGGTTCGCAATGTTTTTAATCATAACGAAAGAACAGGTACAGGGTGCGGTCACGTTCTGGGATACTTAAAAGCACGGTGATCCAATGGTTTTCATGGTTGACTACGCTTGATGTATCGATGAATGAAACATTACATTGCCGCCCCGCCAGGTTCTGGTAAACTTAAGGCTGTTCTTTGCTGGAATTAGTCGATTGATGTCCAGTCAAGGTTGTTCGACATTCTTCAGTAATAGAACAAATGTAACTTCAGACCAACAGTTATGGATACAAACCTCAACTGAAGTGTGCCGGTCTTTTATTCAGACTTAATAAATGTTGACGATATTTTTCCATAGTTAGGAGACAATTAGGGTGGACAGGATGCGCTTAACTGTTTCCGAAAAATTTCCGGACATAACGAAATTTTCCTTTTAGACATACATAGAAACGTTGTTATAAAGTTTGCCTTTGGTACAACTGAGAGGAAAAACTCTAACAGGTTGGGGCCTTGAAATTTGACAAGCCCTTAATCTTTAAAACGTGACATGCCTTTTGCTTTGTCATGAGCCCAGCGGAAGACATGCTTAAACAAAGGCATTTCTTATGTTTTAGATCAAGTGTCTTTCCTTTCATCTGTAGGGAAGTAGAGGAATCAGAGGCGCGAAAGGACCCATAGGGTCTAAAGGTGCACAGGTATGTCAGTCATCTCTTGCTAGTTTTTCATTTTTATCATAAAGCTGTGGTTGTATATGTGAAGTTTAGCAAAAGTTTAAAGATGTTTTACTTCTTGTTTGGCATTAGTATTTTATTTATTTATAAAATATGGCTTACACATATATTTAGGGTCCTCTAGGTGAGCCTGGTCTCGTAGGACCGTTTGGACCAGCTGGACCGCAGGTAAATGATTTTCTTTTAACTCTTCAATCTTTGAAGTTCACGTAAGAGCCCTCCATGGAATCTTTTAGGACCGCTACAGGGAATTTCCTGTAGTTTCTCTTTTGCATAACTATAACATAAACATAAAGTTGAGTTCTCAGTATCCTGTCAGAGGCATTTTCAAAGGTATTTTCATATAGTCTGATTAAGACAGAAAAAATTCCCATCGTAGCCACTTTAGTGTGTGATAATTAACAAATCCTTTCTGCTACTTTGAATCTTAAGGGAGCTGGCGGTATCAGAGGAAGCCAAGGATCTCCTGGGTTACAAGGAATTCTTGTGAGTAAAGTTTGCCTTTCAAGAGAAAAACAGGCAGAATTATTTTATATCGTTACAGAAACATGTGCTTTCACAAACATCTACAACATGAGATACTAACTAGAGCACAAATGAATAAAGCGGGTAAGTTTCTAAGGAAATTGTGGTGCTACATCGGTGGGAGAGTATAACAGGGTAATTTAGTATTATCAACTGAGTTGATAACTTAAATTGGCCACCTTAGAGAGTTTCGAGGCTGACGTTTTTAGCGTTAGCCCTTCATCAAAGCGAATAGACTACTAGAACATACTTGCAGCCAGTGAAGTTCTACTACCTAGGTCACACCACCAAAGTCATTCTGCCTAAGTTATACTTTCTAAGTAATTCTGCCCAAGTTATAATTTCTAGTCATTCTGCCTATATCATACTTTTGTATTAAATGTCCATCGCTTCTTAGCGATTGCTTATGACACTTGTATTGATGTCATAATTATTATTCCTTTCTGGATCTTTTAGGGACCACCTGGTTCACCAGGAGGCTTTGGAAACAAAGTATGATAAGTATTTGATTGATTCAATAAAGAAGCTATTACAGAAGCCATTACTTTTCAGGACCAATTTCAAAATTATCCCTGGTAAAACTGTCTTCTATTCTGATTTGCTTCCATGCTAATACCTAGCTATATGTTGTCACTTTCTGAAGCAAAGTATTTGATATAAAATTCCTTCCACGTGGCTTTCAATCAAAGTTGAGACTAATTGAAGAGATATGTAAACTTTACAAAGATCAAGCAGTTGCTTTCGGCCCTTATATTTCATGTGGTTGTCGGAGTTTTCCAATGTTTCAATGTCTTTATCAAAGGCTTTTGATCCATTTCTCTACAGGGAGATGCTGGACCACAGGTAGGTCTATTAAAAGTATAAATTAATTCTCAAATGATATTTCAGTAACAGTTCACCTCATGTACTAGGTTAACGTAGAACATTAGCAAAGAAAGTGCTCCGATAATTTGGTAAATTTTTGCTATTGGAGTTGTGGGTGAAAGATCATGACCACGATCGCAATTGTAATCACCTTAACAGTATAGCAATCCTATTTGACCAAGTCCTGACGGATTTGGTTTATTTTTGCAAACTGATGTTAATGAAAGAAACTTTTGGAAAACTTGTTAAATCAATAGTTTTTAAGTAGAATCATGAAAATGCTTACAGACCATTGCATTGCATTCAATGTTAATTGTAAAATTGTCACGCTTACAGTGAGGTTGATCTAGATTGTTTTCTTTCCTTGTTCTACTACTGTAAATGTGACATCCAGGGACCAGATGGACTTCAGGTATTTTTCATTTTAAAACTTTCATGTAACTCCTCATACTGCACTTTATTAAGCTAGGTCGATGTTTTAGGGAAAAGGAGACGGTAGTTGTATTTGGGTTAGGTTACAGTTCACTTTAAATTTTTAAAACGAAGGAGTGTGGCTGGTTCTACTATTATGAGTTTAGCTTTCAACAGTTGATGAAAATTATTTTTAGGGTCCCCCAGGACCGTCAGGTGCACCAGGACAGGCGGTGAGTCTACAATGTGAATCAAACCTAGCATTTACTATTAATAGCCACTTTGATTATTGCCATCAGTCCATCATACTTTCCTAAAAACTTGACTGAAAAAAAGTAATAAAAGTCTTCATTTCAATTTTGTGAGTTTCTCATCTCATTTATTCACAGGCAGATATTTCCAGCTGGGTGAGTATGTTGTGTTTTCCCTTTAATACAGACTCTCTTATCTTTGAGAAAGGCCCAGTAAAATGTGGTTCAGGATAGCTTTTCACGCCCTCTGTTTCAAGTTTGCCCTCTGATGCTATGTTGCTTAGGGTTTATGTTGCATATTCACAAACTCAATCACGTAAAATACATAACTTTACGGAAAATTTTTCAAGTGAAAAAGTTCACTCAGAAAATCCAAAACAGTTATGACCCCTACCCCAAATAACCTGGGTTTGACTTCCTTAAAACTGAATGGTAAAGACCAAGTTGCATTAGTTAAGAATACCGTAAAATGAGTGTCATCGTCATTCTTACTCTCTGCTGATAATCTTTTCAATTTTTTTAAATTTAAATTAAGATTTCACAACAGAGGTATGGATTCCTTGAGGAGTCTTTGACTCAGAGTAATACCAAGTCCTCTCTGTACAAAAGTAAAAGTTTGGTAAGTATATTTTATGAATTACTCTCCAAGTTATGCAATACCTTTTCCTTTGAACCCTGGTTTAATTCTGTTGCAACCAACATTAGCTCCGAAATGAAAGTACTATAGCTTGTAATCTGTTCACTGACTCCTGTTTTTTTTTAATTATCGTCAAGAGGTGGAGCTTGAAAGTGGTTGCGAACAGACTTCACGACTTCCCCAAAGTGTGCTTATTTGAACTTCATTTGTGCTTCCTCATTCCTTTATGTTTATCATCATCATAACCTTTTTTTTTGGCCTGTAGTGAACTAACGTTCTTACATTTTCCTTGCAGCCCCGACAGACACTAAAAACAAATTCCAAACATAAAGAGGTGGTAAGTTCCTCTAACATTGTCATTAATAAACTCTTAAATGATTTTTCAATAACACACCACTCTTGCGTAAGCCCTTTAACGTATTATGAATCTATTATAGTTACCTTGTTCAGTTTTCACTGTACCCCCACCAGTATGCAGTGACTGACAACATGTAAGATTATAACCACAAACAGGGTTCATTTATTGTGGGACTGTAGAAGAATAATTACTGGGTTTTTTTTTTCCTTTTTTCGATTTAAGACAAACGGAAACTACTTATCCCCACATGATCCATCCGGGTGGAGATATTTTGCATCCCTAAATAGCAGAGCCTCATCACTAACGTTACAAGAGGTATGTTTCTCCGCACAGGAGGAGAGATTTACCGGAGGTCTGGCACTAGACTCCTTGCAGACCTCTCACCCGCGAACGAAGAGACACTCGTGCTGCCGGAAGCGCTAATAATGATGGCCTTTACATGACAAAGTATATTCATAATTTAATACCCCAGGTGTTACTTATCTAGTATGTAGGGTGGCGCTTAGTAAATTAGCTCTTGTGGATTTCTTTTCTTAACAGGGAAACAGTCCAGTTATCGAAGCCATAAATAACCAAGTCCAGTCGTTGATAACCTGCAGACGATTTCTAGGTACCAGACGTTACCCAGCCAGAACATGCCGAGACCTGAAGCAACTTGAGCCTAATGTTACCAATGGTAAGGCAACATCATATATTTTGTTAAGAATCAAATGAACTGTTGTACGAAGAAAACTTTGCAACTTTTTTTTGTTCTTCACAATTGTAATAATATCTGACAGATAATTGATTTATTTATCAAGGTCACTTCTGGATCGATCCCAATGGTGGGCCAGTGGATGATGCAGTCCGAGCTTATTGTGATTTTCACTTTAACGCAACATGCATTCACCCAAAAAAGAGTAAGGTAAGGAGGAAATCATATTATTACACAGTCCTTATTACATATTACATATTATTACACAGTCCTTATTACATATTACATATTATTACACAGTCCTTATTTCTTATAACAAACTTAACATGTATGTTTGCTAAAAGGGTGTTGCAAAATTTGCATGAGTAACTCCATGTTTTTTCCGACACAGACAGAAAACAAGAAATGGTTCTTTGGACCTGACGGGTACAAGTGGTTTTCTAAGGAATTTGATGATCTACCCCAGGTACACACATAATCTTTGATTTACACCTTCGGCGAATTCTTAAGATTTATAAAGCCGTGACAAACAGCTTCACCGAGCCTGTAATATTGACGCTAATTTTTTTCTCATTCCAACAAAAAGCAGTCATTTGTTTGGTTTGAGCGCTACAGGTTATTTTTAGAGCAGGTGGGCGAACTTACACCGGTTAATTTTTCGACATCATTTTTTTGTTTGTTTGTTTTTGTTTTGTTTTGTTTTGTTTTTGTTTTGTTTTTGTTTGTTTTTATATGACCCTTTTAGTTCCGGTCTTGCAGTCCTGGGGAAAGACGGGTTATGTAATAGTGTAATTTGATCGTCCGGGTGAGTGTAGTCCTGAGAAAGACTGTTGTCGGTAGTGGTGACTGACGTTTCGACAACCTGAGCGGAAGTCATCATCAGAGTCAAGCGAATGGCTGTTGTCAGTCGAATGTACTTAGTCTGGTTTGTATGAACTGATTGGGCAGTTTTGTCGTGATGTTTTGGCTGTAAGACTCAAGTGGCGTAGGTCAGTCGTGATTGGTCGGTCTCGATCCGTTAGTGACGTTAAGTCGTTCTGTTCGGTTCGTTTGTAATGTTAATGTCGTGAATAAGTATGGTGCCGGTAGGGGTTGACACCTGTTGAGAGGAGTCTGTTCCAAGTTCGTAAACCAGCTTTCCAGGGTTAGTCGTTGAAAGTAGTTGGTGCTGTAGGTTAGGCATTGCGCAGAGTCCCAGTCAATAGTGTGGTTCGTAAGTCGGTGATGTTCAGCAATGTGATTGTTGACATCGCCTTTCCTCGTCGCTCGTTTGTGTTCAGTCAGTCTAGTGGTGAGGTTTCCGCCAGTCTCACCGATGTAGAAAGCGTGGCAGTCGGAGCAATCGATCTTATACACTGCTCCCTATCTGTTCCTCGGTTCGTCTTTGTCTTTGACGTCAGTCAGTAACTGACGTAGTGTGGTAATAGGTTTGTGAGCGACGCGGATATTGAAGAGTTGTAGGATGCGCGAGATGTTCTCAGATATACCCTTTATGTATGGTATAGTTGCTGTGGTCGTAGGAGTTGCGTTGTCGTTAGCTTCGGTAGTAGTAGGTCGGTGAGTGTTACGTTGGAAGAAGTCTTCGTTGTAGTTGTTCTTCGAAAAAACTCGGTCAAGATACTTGTTCTCGTCGGATAAGGTGTTTGTCGTACTGCATACTAGAAAAAAAACTGAAGTGTGTAGGGCTAGACGGGTTATGTTTTTTTTTCATCTTATGATCCGTGCAGCTCTCTTCCTACAGTCCTGGGGAAAACCGTAATAAAAACCGACGATTGTAGGGCTACATGGGTTATATTGTCTTTTCATCTTATGACCCGTGCAGCTCTCTTCATACAGTCATGGAGAAAACCATAATAAAAACTGACGTGTGTCGGGTTAGATGGGTTATGTTGTCTTTTCATCTTATGACCCGTGCACCTCTTTTCATGTGGTCCTGAAGAAAGCCATAATTAAGATGGACGTGTGTAGGGCAAGACGGGTTATATTGTCTTTTCATCTTATGACCCGCGTAGCTCTCTTCATGCAGTCCTGGAGAAAACCGTAATAAAAACTGACGTGTGTAGGGCTAGATGGGTTAACGTGAGCCTGTTCGGTAAGAGCCATCAGGCACCGCACTCACACGGCTCTGTTGCAGTTTCCAAGAACAGGAATTGCTTAGGGTTAGGTGATGAAATGTGTCGCATTTTTCGATAAATTGGAAGTGTCTTGTTCTGTCACGAAGAAGTACAGGAAAACTTTTTATTGCATAATCGTTTTCGTGTTTTTTCAGGGCGCACCCTTTTCGTATATATCATTGCTTACTCACATCAGCAACATGGGAAAGGGATTATAAAAATGTTTTATTACATTCGCGCGATGTTTTGCTTTAAAGTAGTGTCTATAATATGCTTAATTTGAGCATAAATGAAAAAATATTTCAGGTGAGTCGAGTAAGTGTAGCACAAAGAAACTATTTACTCATTGTTCTGCCGAAGGAAAACGTTTTCAATGCCACTCAGCAGAGGCAGTCACAGTCAGTGAAAATTAAGTTGATTAATTCCCTTTTGTCTTTGCAGTTTGTTTATGACTGCGACCCAATTCAACTGACATTCCTTCGGCTGCTAAGCAACCGCGCAAAACAGATCATCACCTATCATTGTTTAAATTCCTCTGCCTGGTTCAAGCAAAGTACTGGGAGCTATGAATATTCCATTAAGCTTAAAGCAGAAAATGGAATTGAGATTTACGCTCAGGGAACCATAAAATACAAACCTACCATACTTCTTGACGAATGCAAGGTACGAGTTAATTTAGTAATTCTTGTTACGTTTCGTTGCCGGCTCACTTTGCATGTGACTGCTATGCAAAAGGTGTCATGGTTATTAATCATACAACCACTTTGTGAGACGCAGATAATACAAACAATCACGAAAGAAACCTGAGAGTAGTCTGTACAGAAATTAAAATCTACTCCTATTGGAATAAAACAGGAAGCGTTACCTGTCATGTTCTCCTTTACTGTTCAGTTTAAGGTTATATAATCCGTAAGAACGTATAATAGGTATTTGTGTGTATCGTTTGCGAGATAGTTTGTGTAAATTGAGTTTCTTTTGCGTTCACTACAATATTTGAAAAGATGTTATTTTGAATTTGAGATGTTTATAACATGTTATTAATATTCCCTTGTGTTATTTAAGCCATTTGCGATGTTTCCATAGTCGTTTTCTTCTTTTCAACTTGTAGATTAAAGATGGTGCATGGCGTAGAACGATTTTGGAGGTCAATACTTCTAAAACACACAGACTTCCAATAAAAGATGTGGCAGTACATGATGTTGGAGATTCAGGAGAAGAGTTTGGTCTTGAAATTGGTCCTGTGTGCTTCTCGTGACGATGCGAATAAAAACAAGAATAAATATACCATAGGAATCGGAAGACAGAAAGAAACTCTGTCAACTCTAAAATTTACTGCAGTGTAAAATCACTTCATTTTTAGATTTTAAAAAACTACTGTTAAGGTAATATCGAAACATATGGTTATTAGTTTGGTATCGTCTCAAAGTTGTGCCTGAAAATAGAGGTAAGTGTCCTTTTCAGCGGCGAACGTGTTGTTGTTGTTACGCGAAAGTGTCAGATTTTAAATAAACGGATCAGAATGTTTCAACAATTGGCCAGCTTCTCTTCTTTCTGCTCTAAGGGGTAGGTATTTGCAATTCCCTCTCGCTGGTTATAATTTGAGGGGATCGGACTTATTGGCCCTAGAGTGGTGACGGTTGGTACTCGAGACCGGTTCAAATGACCAGCCTGCCCAATTTTTGCGTTATTAGGAATAGTACGAGAAACAAAATACGGTCGATTTGCTACGATAAATATGTCGAAATATGAATATTCCACACGTAAAATCGATAGAACTTATGTTTGTTGTAGTTTTTGGCGATTTCTGCCGTTTTAAGCATGTTTTGCCACCACTGTTACTCCTGTCATAAGACGAAGTTATACCGGATGTGTACCTAACATTGTGTTTATACGACTGATGATTACGTAAAACGGTATGGAAACTACACAACTTGGCAGGAGTCAGAAGTTGTATCAAAGTATTGGGACGTTTGGGGGCAGATGGCTTGAACAACTGAACTCTCTGAGAGAAGAGCACCAGAAGTCTTGCATCTCATAGCATATTGCATAGCTTCTTGTTTAATGTACCACTGCCTGTTGTTACAACGTCTACTAACTTCACCAACAATTCCAACTTCCACTACTATTGCCAAAAAACTTAGCACTTATATTATCATTTGGTTGTGTTTTCTTAACTATGCGAGATAGATGCACATATAGCGACGTGTATAGCACATATAACGCACTAACCGCTGATTTAGAGATAACCCAAAGGGCTAAGATAACACCCACAGATGTGAACCTCGAGCTATTAGAAAGTCCAACAGTTTCATCCAAACAAAGCGCTTAAAATCGCGTGCGTATTTGGTAAACACTTAACCAACGGATAGCGATTTATCCAGTAATTAGCACCACCTAGCCTTTGAACAACCGAGGCCTGGCGGGTACCACAAGGTTTAATTTTTTTACAAGTTTTGTCGGTTATTTTATTATTATTTCAGTCGTGACTAAACGGAAAAAAAAGAAAAAAATTTAAAGCCCGTGAAAAGTAATAATTATGGCTTATTTCACATCATATTTTGCTATTTTGATAGAGGGATCGTCTTAATGCGAACGACTATTTTTGTTACTTCCTTTTCAATCTCTACATTTTGTACAAAACTTTTGAATTAATTGCGAGGCCCTTCTGTATTTTGTCTTGGAAGAAAAATGAAGAGAACCCAGATGTTATTTTGCCGTTTGCGTTTTACCATAACAAAACGTGCCCCTAGTGAATGGTGCTAATTAGAAAAATCGTGCGCGCTAAAAGCCCGTGCAGTTAGACGAGCCATTCAGGGAAGAGCTCAGCAACCCACGACGAACGACTACGACAAAAATTGAAGTTTTCTTACCTCCCTATCAGTATCTGCATTTTGTGCAAAACTTTTGTACTCTTTGTGTGTCAGTCAGGTTTCAACACGCAAACGCTTCAAGATTTATTTGCATTTGTTGCTAAAAAGGAACAAGTAATTACAAATTATTACGAAGGAGAAGGAATAGGAAAACGCAAAACAACAGAGGAAATACAATTGGACAAGGAAAGACACTAACAAACGTTGTGTGACTTGTGAGCACGAAGAACAGAAAAACTAAAAGATGATCGCAGCGAAGGAATCGATGTTAACCCTAATGCACTCTGATACTCCTATGTTCAATTGTTTTTCTGAGAAACTTTTACGAAAGAAATTAAACAAAGCAGAATTATGCGAAAAAATCTAACAGAATACAAATCGCCGTGAGTGAAAAGGATGCGAAAACAATACGAAAAATGTGCGTGCAAAAACACAAAAATGTAATCAGGAACATAAATGGAAAGAAATCACTAACTGGGAATGCCGCAGTATCACTTGCGAGGCCCTTCTGTATTTTGTCTTGGAAGAAAAATGAGGGAACGCAGATGTTAATTTGCCTTTTGCGTTTACCACAACAAAATGTGTCTCTAATGAATAGTGCTAATTAGAAAAATCGTGCGCGCTAAAAACCCGTGCAGTTAGACGAGCCATTCAGGGAAGAGCTCAACAACCCGCGTGCACGCATAAGTTTTAAAAGGCACACTTTTGAAATTATCACAAGCATAGAGAAATTCTACTTCAGTGATCAATTCTTGTCACAATTTTTAGCTTCTACACAGTGTTTTCTCCCTTGGAAGCCCTCTTTCGTTTCTCGTTGGTCAAACTTAACATCACGTATCATTTCTGGCAACGGACGGAAGCAGGTAAGTGTTTATCGACGCTTATAGAAACATGTAAAACTGCGTAAACTAATTCTAAGAGAAGCTGAGCCATGTACAAATTCAAGAAGAGCTCCAGATCGAAGCTTAGTTTTATTTAATTCTTTAATTCTTTCCAGTCGCTCGTATTTCCGCCCAGAATGTAATTTAATAACTTAGCAGTAGAAATTCTATTGCGTAATTCTTTTTTGCAAAATTGGCTTCCTTGAAATTCTTCTTTGAAACTGTTGTCGCGCGGAGGGTAAAATTTCTGCACAGCCCCATCCTACATTATGCATTCAGTTCTTGAACAGAGAAAACAATGACAAAAACAATACATTTCCATTGGGAAAACAGATTTGTTTTACAATAGTACGGGGCTGTGCGGAAACTTTACCGCAAGGAGTACCATTTCTAATCTTTCATCTTCTTTGCTGAAATTCTGCGTTAACAATGTAGAGAAAGCGTGGTTCGTGCTCTTAAATTTTAATTAGTTACAAGTTTGAAGCGAAACTCAGTGTTTTAAGTAATGCATATTAATTTTGATAGTGAGTATACCTAAAGCTTGTTCCTAGAGGCACTAGGTTTGAACATTGTGCGTAATATAGAGATGACGAGTGAATTAAGGAAATATTTCATTCGACTTTCCAGGCAGATTCCGAGAATTTCCTTCGTCTCAACCCTTAAATTCCAAGATCAGATCGTCAATTCTCCCTTTAACTGCCAAACAAGAATTTGATATCATATCAAGATAACAACATCTAGGAGATAAATTTGAGTATTCTCACTTCCTGTTTGCTGGATAATGTATAAATAATAGAGGGAGAAGTTACATTTTAATCACTTCTTAGACTAAGAGTCAACTGCTTGTTATGAAAAGTGAAAAATTAAGTTCACACTACTTTTTTTTTCTTTTTAATCGAAACATCTGAATGGTAAAAATGTCAGTAATACGGGTTTTGATCAAAGAAGGTTTGTAAATTTCCGATATGTTAGACGAAAGGGTTATAATAAGCCATAACATTTAATTTGCCTGTTTGTTTGCTTCTTTTCTGGGCTTCAAATGAAGTTATAATCTGCAAACGTTTAAATTTAATTCTACAATAAGATTCTCCAAATTTCACAAGGGAAAATTTTGGTACGCCTCGATGTTTACTCACCATGACTCCAGATGAAACTGATATTTGACAACATGAAGGGGGCTTCGTTCTCACACAAAAGTAATTTTTTTTTTGTAATCTTGAAAACCGAGGGATTACTGACGTTTAATTTCTCGTTATATTATCACCCCTTAATCACAAATTAAGCTCACACGCATAAGAAGAAATGAAATAATCACCAACAAACGAAGCTCATGATAGTTAAACACGTTCCCCCTAAGAAATGTATAGAGAACAGAATTGACAATAAAAACACTGATGTATAGATGTGAAGGGAACAGTTTTTCCAATCTTGTTACTCCCGAAGGTTACTCTGGAAAAATGACTTAAATTTATCGCATGTTGACCAACCAAGTTTTGCAATGTTTCGGTAAAAAGTGTCTAACAGAAAATTCCTATTCAGTTCTTCTGACATGTGCAATGGTTGCGAACTCAGAATATGATTATTTTGCAATGTTTTCCCCTTCACAAGGGGCCACGATGTTTTTACGTATCATTTATTTTACCTAAATATCCACAGTATCTTTCTCATTTAGACTTGTACGACACACTCCAGTCCAAATACCGCTCAGTCCATTCTAGTGCAGCTAATCCAGATCACTTAACCTAAGTCCCTCTCACTTCATTTCAGAAGAGTCCAGTTCATTGTGCATTTAGTCCAAAAATCAGCATCCAGCTCCATGCAGTCTAGTACGACCCGCTCCAGTCCTCGCCATTCCTTTCCATATGGTCCAGTCCATCATCACAAGACAAGTGCTGACTCTTGCTACCGGTATAACTCGCTTATCGACGGGAAAGCGTGGTGAAGAAAAGAGCCGACGCTTCTCTTCCCCTCTGCTGTATACGCGGAGGCTGGGAACAGAACAGTGAGAAGACGCTGATGTCCAGCTGGTTAGTAAGATTCTTTGTGAGTTGGGATGAAAAAAAAAGGGTTAATAGATAGTGCACTGGTTAAACCATAAAATCCAAATTCTGCTAAAAGTTGTCACACTTCTGATTCGGCTCAAAGTAGTTAAAGCTTAGTTTGCGGGTCCCCTTGAGGTTGGGTGAGGTCCCCCCTCCAAATCTTCTTCTCTCGGTTTTTTCTTTCAATCGAATACTGTTCGGCATATTTTCGGTTTGGATCGTTTCTTCTTCGTCGCTTCTTTAGGTTGTCACAATATCGGCTTCGTTCATACTTCGGCTCTTCATCAACAGGTCTTTCGGTGTTCATCAGTTGCTCATCGACTTTAGCGCAGGTCTTCCCCCACTGTTACTTCGACTGCGACCGATTACATTTTCAATTTAACTTGATTGAGAGGATCTTAAACACTGTGATCGAGTAAGACTGTTTTTTCTACTACTTAGTTGAAAAAAAGTTTGCCTCGAAGGTTCAGCTAGATTTTAACGTTATGATTGGAAATCGGATTTAAGCAATTCAGCTATGACAGCAAATTAGAATTGAGAATTAGCCTTTGAGAAAAGATTATGCATGCATTGATGAAAATTAAGGTCGTGTTTCTTTCGGAGTTCGCCTTCACCTTCGGTTCGAATTTCACTTCGGCTTCTCGTTCGGCCTTTCAAAACTTGTTCGGATTTT